CGCCCCATCAAGCTTCGCAAGAGTATGTGGAAGGACCGGAATCTGGACGTGGTCCGCAAGAAGCAGAAGGAAAAGAAGAAGCTGGGCCTGAGATAGGGTCTGTGGCCAGGCACCCGCTCCCACCTGGCCGGGCGCTGGCTCCTCCCTCAGTTCTCTTTGGAAAGCCCCCAGCTGTCCACGCATCCCCTGCCCCAAAACCAGTTTCAATAAATTTATGTTCATTTCCACCCCTGGCTGGGCATGGAAGCACGCTGTGGGGAGCAGGGCTTGGCTTCCCCACACGTGGAAATGGCGGGGAGCCTTGAGAGTTTACCCAGACAAACACCCAGGCAGGGGCTTCTGAGCCTTTCCTGTGCACCCATTCCCTCTTCAAACCTCTTCCACACATGCCGAGTGCCGCCCACTCCAGAGGAGAAAGGGGGCGCCAGTGGCAAGGGTTGAGCCAAGCTGAGGCCCACACCTGTGTCCTGGCTACCTCCTGTGTTCTCAGCACTAAGGTAGGAGATCTTCTAGGCCCTTCCCTTCTGGAGCTCACAGCCTTCTAGGCCCTCCATCCAGCAGACTCACCAAGGGTCTGAACAGTGCTTGGGGACACAATGGTGACTAAAAGTCCTGGGCCTTGCACCCTTAGAGCTCAAGGTCCAGTGGCAGAAAATAGGCTCAATGCCCTGACAGTAAGAGCCCAGAGTGGTCAGGGCAGGATGGGGGCACCCAGGGCACTGACCTGTGGGTGAGGGGCCCTTCCTGAAGGAACTGTCCACCCCCGAGTCTCCTCGGGCTTTCCAGCTTCTCCAGTCTGCCACGCCCAGCCACCTCGCCGTGCTCTAAGTCTCGGTGGGCACCTCTGCATCTCTGTCTCTGTGGGTACCCCTCCATTTCTTGTCTCTAAGCCTCTATATCCCTTTTGGTCTCTGTTCTTTCCTTTGAAGCTGGGAAATGAAAAAGGAGGAGAGACCCACAGATGGAGAGAGAGAACAGAGACTCGGGGTCTGTCCCCCTTTTTTCCCAGCTCCAAGCTGGCCTCTGCCTGTCTGAAGAGGTGTCTGTGCAGGGACTTGAATGCCAGGCTGAGAGCTTAAGCTTTATGTAGAAGGCAGCAGCAAACCCCAAAAAGCTGAGGAAATTCAAGCAGCAGCAAGGTCCTAGGCAGCACAGATGTGTACTGGGCGCGGTGGCGCAGGCCTGTAATCCCAGCACTTTGGGAGGCCGAGGCACGCAGATCATTTGAGGTCACGAGTTCAAGACCAGCCTGGCCAACACAGTGAAACCCCATCCCTACTGAAAAATACAGAAATTAGTTGGGTATGGTGGTGGGCACATGTAGTCCCAGCTACTTGGGAGGGCTGAAGCAGGAGAATCGCTTGAACCCCGTAAAAGGTTGCAGTGAGCCCAGATCACGCCACTGCACTCCAGCCTTGGTGACAGAGTGAGACCGTCTCCAAAAAAAAAAAAAAAGCCCTGCGACCACCACTGTGGCTGGAAGTCTGGAAGGAGGCTGGGGCAGGGACCAAGCCAGAGGAGGGAGATGGCAGGGTCTGAGTATGGGGAGGAGAGGGGGGTCTCCCAGGGACACAGCCATCAGAACCCTCCATTAGGAGGGAGCAGGTTGGGCAGGACTTTGTGGGGCATAAGTCGGGGGATGGACAATACCAAGGCCTCTCAGGGATGGAGGTCCCCCAGGAGAGGTGTCGAATTTCTCCTGTTCCTGTCTTCCCTGCCTTACTGCCCCCTCTCTGACGTCACATTTTCCAGTCCGGTCAGAGGCTGAGAGCCTCCCTCCCTGGCAGGAAGTGCCCTTTAGCCCCCTGCCACCTGGGCTAGACCACCCAGCCCCAGGATCCTCAAAGCCCCTTCCCCCCATCACTAGTCTTTCCTACCCCGACCCCCTCTGTGATCACTGCAAGTATAGGGGCATGGGAGGAGATGGGAAGAGAGGATGGCTCCAGAAAGGACGCTTCCAAATGCATGTGATTCTCACTTCCGAGTAGGAGCAGAACAGTAGGTACAGGTGGACACGCAGAGTGGGGCAAAAGGCACTGCAGACTCCAAAAGGCGGGAGCGTGGGGGAAACTGAACGGTTACCAGTTGGGTACATTGTTCACTATTCGGGTGCACTAAAGGCCCAGGCCTCACCGTGACATGTATCCAGTAAGGAATCTGCACTTGTACCCCCTAAATGTTTTATCTTTTTTTCTTTTTAATGTACATGAGTCTTCCTGAGAACAGGGAGAGACACACACAGAATGTGGCAGGCGGAGGTAGAGATGGCGCTGTGAGCAGGAGGCTCAGAGGCAGAGATGAGAACCATCAGAGACTGTGCAGTGGGAAGGGAGACGGGGAGAAAACCAAGAGACAGATGGAGACAGACAAGGAGATGAGATAGGAACACTCAAAGACAGATGGGGAGGGACAGAGATGTCAGAAGAGACTGGGTGACAAAGCCTCACTGGAGTCAGGCCCATGGCAACAGAGACCTAGCTTTAGAGACGCCAACCTGAAGAAAGAGGGCAGGGAGACATGGAAAGACAGTCAGACAAGAGGCCAGCTTCAAGGACAGGAAGCCAGGACTCCCTTCAGGCCCCCGCACTGGATGGATAGAGGGGCCAGTGATGCTCCAGGGCTCTGTGGCTCACCCCACACTGATTCCATCCCAGTCCCACTCCCACCCCATGGGACCCCATGGAGCCCAGTTTATTTTCTGTAAAACGGAAGGAGGAGCAGTGCCCCCCGATCTCCAGAACAGCAAGTAGTTAATGATCAACAGGCTGCGTGGGGATTGAAAGATGCCTATATGCAAAAGTTACTTTTAATGGTAAATATTACGCACTTATTAAAATACAGCAGGATGGGCTGGGCATGGTGGCTCATGCTTCTGATTCCAGCACTAAGGCTAAGGCAGGTGGATAGCTTGAGGCCAGGAGTTTGAGACCAGCCTGGCCAACATGGCAAAACCCCATCTCTACTAAAAATGCAAAAATTAGGCTAGGCATGGTGGCTCACACCTGTAATCCTAGCACTTTGAGAGGCCGAGGCAGGTGGATCACTTGAGGTCAGGAGTTCGAGACCAGCCTGGCCAACATGGTGAAACCCTGTCTCTACTAAAAATGCAAAAACTAGCCAGGCGTGGTGGTGGGCACCTGTAATCCCGCTACTCGGGAGGCTGAGGCAGAAGAATCACCTGAACCTGGGAGGCAGAGGTTGCAGATCGAGACTCCCTGTCAAAAAAAAAAAAAAAAAAAAATTAGCCGGGCATGGTGGTGTGCACATGTAATTCCAGCTACTTGGGAGACTGGGGCAGGAAAATCACTTGAGCCTGAGAGGCAGAGGTTGCAGAGAGCTGAGATCGTGCCACTGCACTCCAGCCTGGGTGACAGAGAGACTCTGTCTCTTAAAAAAAAAAAAAAAAAAAAAAGGCTGGGCGCAGTGGCAAGCCTGTAATCCCAGCACTTTGGGAGGCCGAGATGGGTGGATCACGAGGTCAGGAGATCAAGACCATCCTGGCTAACATGGTGAAACCCCGTCTCTACTAAAAATACAAAAAAATTAGCCAGGCGTGGTGGCGGGCGCCTGTAGTCCCAGCTACTCAGGAGGCTGAGGCAGGAGAATGCCCACCCGGGAGGCGGAGCTTGTAGTGAGCTGCGATCGCGCCACTGCACTCCAGCCTGGGCGACAGAGCAAGACTGTCTCAAAAACAAAAAACAAAAACAAACAAAAAACTATAGCACGATGGGCACAGTCTGAAGCCAAGTTACCTGGGTTAAGGGTTGCAGACTTAGCGAATAAAAATATAGGACACTTGCAGGGCACGGTGGCTCACGCCTGTAATCCCAGCACTCTGGGAGGCCAAGGCGGGCCTATCACCTGAGGTCAGGAGTTTGAGAACAGCCTGGCCAACATGGTGAAACCCCATCTCTACTAAAAATACAAAAAAATTAGCTGGGCGTGGTGGCACTTGCCTGTAATCCCAGCTACTTGGAAGGCTGAGGCAACAGAATTGCTTGAACCCTGGAGGTGGAGGTTGCAGTGAGCTGAGAGTGTACCACTGCACTCCAGCCTGGGTTACAGAGCAAGACTCCGTCTGGAAAAATATTATATATATATACAGGACACCCAGTTATTGAATTTAAATGAACTATTTTATAGTTTAGGCATGTCCTAAATATTTCATGTATGTATGTATATGTTACATGTATAGCTGGGGTTTTGTTTGTTTTTTGCTGAATTATTTGAGCAAGTTACAGACTTTTTTTTTTTTGAGATGAAGTTTCACTCTTGTTCCCCAGGCTGGAGTGCAATGGTGCGATCTCGGGTCACTGTAGTCTCCACCTGCCGGGTTCTAGTAATTCTCCTGCCTCAGCCTCCCAAGTAGCTGGGATTACAAGCACCCGCCACCACACCCGGATAATTTTTTGTATTTTTAGTAGAGACGGGGTTTCACCATATTGGACAGGCTGATCTCGAACTCCTGACCTCAGATGATCCACCTGCCTCAGCCTCCCAAAGGGCTGGGATTACAGGTGTGAGTCACTGCACCCAACCACAAGTTACAGACATTATAACATTTCATCTCTGAGTTCATTTCCTAAATGATATTTCATCCTGAATACCATTATCAAACCTAAGAAAATAATTCTATGATATTTCATATTCAGTTCATACTCCAATTTCCCCAATTGTCCTAAACTATTACAGCACGGAAGGCATGGGGTCTGGAGAAGGGCAGTGGGAGGATGTCTGCCTTAATTTCCCCCTTCATCAAATGAGAGTATGTATTGTACTTGCCTCATAGAAGGATGCAATGAAGGCGCATGGCACAGTTGGTTTCACACAATGAGCCCTCATTTAATGTTGGCTGTTATTGCTACTATCGTTATTGTTGAAATTGTTTTTGTCAATATTGTTATGATTGGCACTCCTGGGAAGCAGCCCCCAGGGGCCCGGTGGGGGATTGGGTCGGCCTTCACTCCTGCTCCACCCCCTGCAGTTACTCTGCCGATTGTGACGTCAGCTGACGCTGGGGGCGGGTGGGAGAATCTGGCCGGAAATCCCTCTTCCTGTTGCAGATAAGCCCAGCTCAGCCCAGCTGACCCCAGACCCTCTTCCCTCACTCCCCCCATGTCGCAGGATCAAGACCCTGAGGCAGAGAGCCTGTTCACCAAGTCCCCCGCCCCGCCCCCATCACCCCGTAAACTTCTCCAGCCTCCGCCCCGCCCTCACCCAGCCCGCTGTTCCCCAAGCCCCGCTCCAAGCCCACGCCACCCCTGCAGCAGGGCAGCCCGAGGCCAGCACCCATCCCCGAGGCGGGGTCCGCAGCTCGGCCCCGCCCCTGCCCCTGCAACTTGAGCCTGGCTGCGACCCCTGCTCTGACGTCTCGGAAAATTCCCCCTTGCCCGGGCCCTTGGGGGAGGGGGTGCATGGTATGAAATGGGGCTGAGACCCCCGGCTGGGGGCAGAGGAACACGCCAGAGGTGAGCCATGAACTGAGGACTAAATGCCTGGGTGTCTGGGTTAGGAAGGACCTGGGGACTAGACTCCCAAGAGGCCAGGGGCCTGGACTCCTGGGTCTGAGAGAGGAAGAGAGCTGGGGTCCCTCACTCCCGGGACCAAGATTCTAGGCTCCTGGGGAAGGAGGGAGCGGAGGCCTGGACTCCTGGCTGTGAGGGAAGCCAGGGCTGGGACCCAGACTCCAGGGCCTCCAAGTGTCACCAGCTCACCCATTGCCATCTGGACTTTTCCCGACCCAGAACACTCAGAAGGCATCGCATCCATGGACCTGTGGAACTGGGATGAGGCATCCCCACAGGAAGTGCCTCCAGGGAACAAGCTGGCAGGGCTGGGTAGGCTGCCGGGGCTGCCACAACGTGTGTGGGGAGGGTGTCCAGGTAGGGCCTCTGCTAACCCTAAACCCTTATCGCCTGCAGAAGGAGCCGAATTAGGCTTCTATGTCCCTGATGTGGCACTCCAAGGGGACACGCCGACAGCGACAGCAGAGACATGCTGGAAAGGTGGCTGCGGGCTGGGACCCCTGAGTGCTGGAAAAGAAGCGGGGAGGGTGGAATCCTAGGGAAAAGGGAGGAGGGGGCGTGCCTAGGCTCCTAGGACTGGGTGGGGAGGGGCCGCGTGCTTGACTCCCTGAGGGTGAAGGAAAAGGGGGCGTGGGGTGCTGAAATAGGGGCTGGGGGGTCATAACTCCCAGTCCCTGACAAGTAAAGACCAGAGAGTGGGTAGTTGAGGGTTCTCTGTCATTGCTCACACTCCTCCATAAACTCAGGTACAAGCTCATCCCTGACAAGCTTCCCACAGCTGGACTGGGGCTCCGCGTTACTGCACCCAGAAGTTCCATGGGGGGCGGGTGAGTGTGGGGAGAGGCGGTGGGAGGAGGGGACTGGGGTCCCGAGGCACCAGGGCTGGAGGTGTAGACTCCCTGATCTTTGAGGACTGAGAACACCTGCGCTCTCAAGGTGGCATGGCCTGGATCAGGGACAGCCCGGCCCCAAGGGCCAGGGCTGAGAGCTTACACCCCTAGAGTTTTTGAGGGTGCACCTGGGCTCCCCTCACTCAGGGTCCGTTACTCCTCACAGAGCCCGACCCTCAGGCACTTCCGTGGTCGGGGGACTGGACAGACGTGGCGTGCACAGCCTGGGACTCTTGGAGTGGCGCCTCGCAGACGCTGGGCCCCGCCCCTCCCGGCCCGGGCCCCGCCCCTGCTGCCGGCTCCGAAAGCGCCGCGGGCCACAACTGCATCCCCGCGGAGGGAGGGGCCACCTTGTGGTCGCGCGCCCAGGCTGCCGGGAGCAACACCACCTGGGACTGTTCTGTGGGCCCCGACGACATCACCTACTGGGGCAGTAGCCTGGGCGGGGAGCCGCGCACGGACTGTACCATTTCGTGGGGCGGGCCCGCGGGCCCGGACTGTACCACCTCCTGGAACCCGGGGCTGCGTGCGGATGGCACCACCTCTTTGAAAGGGTACCAGAGTTCAGCTCTCACCATTTCCTCCGAACGGAGCCCGCAGTCGGACCGTGCCAGTTTGGCTCGATGCCCCAAAACTAACCACCGAGGTGAGAAGACCACAAAGACTGCAGGGAGGGCGAAGCTGGAGTCTTGAGCTGGGATCTAAGGGGGCGGGGCCCGAGAGACTGACAGCGAGGGGGCGGGGTTTAGGGACCATGGACTCGAGGGAGGAGGGGCCGGTGGCCCGCACTCCTCTCCTCCAGAGGGCTAAGACACTGGTAGTCTTATAGGGACCAAGAGGGTGAGGAGGACCCAGGCTGCTGGATTATATAAAACGAAAGCGATGAAGGCCCAGACTCCTGGGTCTCCGAGATGGGGAGGCCAAACTCCTAAATCTCTGAGACTGGGGCCCTGGACGCTTGAGTCTCCAAGACTGACTGTTGGGTCCCCTATATAGAGGGATTTGAACTCGTGGATCTCAGAGAAGGGGAGGATCCAGACTCCTGGGTCCCGAGTTGGGAGGACCCGGACCTCTAGATCATTGAAGTGGTGTGATCTAGGGCCGGGAAGACTGAGTGTGCCCCTCCCTTCATCCCGCAGGTCCCATTCAGCTGTGGCAGTTCCTCCTGGAGCTGCTGCACGACGGGGCGCGTAGCAGCTGCATCCGTTGGACTGGCAACAGCCGCGAGTTCCAGCTGTGCGACCCCAAAGAGGTGGGGCAGCTCCCCCGCCCAGCCAAGTCCTGCTCCGTTTCCTCTAGTTCAATTTAGCCCCGCCCAAGGGCTAGGTTCAATCGCCTAGGCCTTGGCCCCGCCCCTCCCCGGCCCATTCGGGGCCCCGCCCAACCCTTCTCAAACCCAATCTCCCGCCTGGACTTCTGCCTCAGCCAACCCAGTCTCCACCCGGCTCCGCGGGGCCTCGCCCAGGTCTGCACTGCACACCTTCCCCAGGCCCGGCCCTCCCAACTATTGCCAAGCCCCGTCCCTTCCCACTCCGACCGAGCCCGGCCTCTGTCCTAGGTGGCTAGGCTGTGGGGCGAGCGCAAGAGAAAGCCGGGCATGAATTACGAGAAGCTGAGCCGAGGCCTGCGCTACTACTATCGCCGCGACATCGTGCGCAAGAGCGGGGGGCGCAAGTACACCTACCGTTTCGGGGGCCGCGTGCCCAGCCTAGCCTATCCGAACTGTGCGGGGGGCGGAAGGGGAGCAGAGACACAATAAAAATTACCGGTCAGACCTCTTGGCGCGTGCTCCTCTGCTGCATTCTTCCCGCTGATACTGACTACACGCGCTAGGGAGCCTAAGTGTGCAGCTCCACATGTTGGAATTTGGCCTCCCCACCTCGGAGACCCCAGGCGTCTGGGCCTTCATCTCTTTCCTCTCACATAATCCAGGAGCCTGGATCCTTGCTCCCTAAAAGACTGTAGTGCCTTAGTCCTCTCCTCCCCGAAGACCCTGGAGTGCGGGCCACCAGCCCCAAGTCTCTTAAGCGCCTAGGTCCCTAAGCCCCGCCCCTCGCTGTCAGTTTCCCGGGTCCCGCCCCCTTAGGCCCCGCCTCTCGACTCAGCCTTCACTCCCTCCGCAGTCTTCGCGGACCACCCACCTCCGTGGTTAGTTTTGGGATAACGAATCACCTACCTCCAGTGCTGGGCAATGACCAAAGGAGACCCAGACCCTTAGGGAGCCTGCCGTGTGCCCGCCCTGTGATGAGAGAGGCAAAGAAACTAAACCCAAAGCCCATAGGGCCTACTGTGTGCCTGCCCTGTGTTGGGACTTGTAAAGGAATCAGACTCAATCATGAGAGTATATATGCTGTGTCCCCTTAAAGAGAAGACTCAGACTCCGAAAAGGGCTTACTGTGCTGTGTGTCCTCCCAGTGCAAGGGATCGTCAAGGAATTAAAACTAGTGCTTGCACCCCAACACCACTCACCCTTTCCCCACTCCAAGCTCGACACAGGACTCAGACCAACACTCTAAAGACAGCCTACACCATTCTGAGAGCCACTGAGCTCCTAAAGAGAGCCTGCTGTGTGGTCGTCCTGTGGGCGATGCTGGGGATAGAGCAGGGACCAAGACAGCCGTGGACCCTACCCTCAGGGAGCTCACAGTCCAGTGGGAAGACAGACCATCACCAGAATGTTTTGAGCTGGGATGAGAAGACTCCAGGGGATCGAGGGAGGCCAAAAGGAGAGACCTGACCTAGCCCAGGAGGAGAAGGGTCAGGGGAGACTCCCTGGAGGAGGAGACAGCTGATTTGAGAAGTCAGGTAGGCAAAGAATGTTTCAGGCAGAAGGAACAAGATCAAAGGTCCAGAGGTGGACGATCTCATACCACTGCTCAAAACTATCAATGTGGGCCAGGCATAGTGGCTCACACCTGTAATCTCATTACTTTGGGAGGCTGAGGCAGGAGGACAGCTTGAGGCCAGGATTTCCAGACCAGCCTGAGCAACATAAGGGAGACCCCCATCTCTGTTAAAAAAAAAAAAAAATTAAAAATAAATGTGGCTACAGCAGCAACAGGGACCAATTCATAAAGGATCTGTGGGCCATGGTGAGGAGCCCAGACTTTGTCTCCAGGGCTCCTGAGGAGCCATCGAGGGTTTTGTTTGTTTGTTTTTAGAGATGGAGTCTCACTCTGTCACTCTGGCTGGAGTGCAGTGATGCAATCTCAGGTTACTGCAACCTCCGACTCCCAGGTTCAAGCAATTCTCCTGCCTCAACCTCCCAAATAGCGGGGATTACAGGCACGCACCACCACACACAGCTAATTTTTGTATTTTTAGTAAAGATGGGGTTTTCACCATGTTGGTCAGGCTGGTCTGGAACTCCTGACCTCAGGTGATGCGCCCACCTTGGCCTCCCAAAGTGCTGGGATTATAGGAGTGAGCCACCATGCCTGGCCCCCATCAAGGTGTTTTAAGCAGGGAGAGGGATTTGGGTTTTAGGAAGATCTCATTGCAGGGGATGAATACATGCATGTAAACAGGTAATTCCACAAATAACCACAATGTTGATGGACACAGAATGTGTAAGAAGAGGTCCCTAACCCAGTTCCATCTGGACACTGCACCTAAGACGGTGTGGGAGAAGCTTTAGAGGCCAGACAGGGGAGGAAGGAAAGCAGTTCTCTTCCATAGCTCCCTCTCCTAGTCCCCAAATGCTTCCTTCATTTCCACAAGAAATTCTTGCATTCAGCAAATATTTATAGAGTACTTCCTGTGTACCAGGCACTGCTTTAGATACAATGGTGAATAAGGCAGACAAAAATTCTTCCTTTATGATGATTCTTTTCTATTGAGGGAGGCAAAAAGAGGTAAACATAATTTAAAAGAACAGATATAGCCGGGAGCGGTGGCTCATGCCTGTAATCCCAGCACTTTGGAAGGCCAAGGTGGGCAGATCACCTGAGGTCAAAAGTTCAAGACCAGCCTGACCAACATGGAGAAACCCCATCTCTACTAAAAATACAAAATTAGCCAGGTGTGGTGGCGCATGCCTGTAATCCCAGTGATTCGGGAGGCTGAGGCAGAAGAATCGCTCTAGCCTGGGAGGTGGAGGTTGCAGTGAGCCAAGATCGCACCACTGCACTCCAGTCTGGGCAACATGAATGAAACTCTGTCTAAAAAAGGACAAATTGGCCAGGTGGGGTGGCTCACGCCTGTAATCCCAGCATTTTGGGAGGCCGAGGTGGGCAGATCACCTGTTCAAGACCGAGGTCAGGAGTTCAAGACCAACCTGACCAACATGGTGAAATCCCTCTCTACCAAAATCACAAAAATTAGCTGGGAGTGGTGGCGTGCACTTGTAATTGCACCTACTCGGGAGGCTGAGGCAGGAGAATCACTTGAACCCAGGAGGAGGAGGTTGCAGTGAGCCAAGATAGTACCACTGCACTCCATCCTGGGCGACAGAGTGAGACTGAGTTTCAAGAAGGAGAGGAGAGGAGAGGGGAGAGGAGGGGAGGGGAGGAGAGGAGAGAAGGGCCAAATTGTGTAGATCATTTATAAGGACATTGGCTTTAGACTAGAAGTCAGACCCGTGTTCCTCTGGCTGGGTGGACATACTGCAGAGGGCAGCTGGAAGCCAGGACACCAGGGAGTGGGCTGCTGCAATAGTCCAGTCTGAAGGTGATGGTGGCTTAAACCAAATGTGCTAGAGGAAGATTATGGATATATTTACAGGCAGAACCAACGGGATTTCTTGATAGGTCAGCTCTCAGGTGTAACAGAAAGATCGGAAACAAGGACAACTCTGTGGCCAGAAGGACAGAGTTAGCCATTTTACCAAACGGAATCCTTTCTGCCAGACCCTTCATAGATCCAAGCTTTAACTCCTAACCCCACCTGCCTGGGATGCAAGACTGGTTCTTGAGCCCTTGGCCACTCAAATCTTTGTTAATCTGTGCTTTCAGAGGTTTGGGAAAAGGTGGTAACCAGCAGGGAGGTAAAATCTGGGCATTCCTAATACCCTGACGAGTGACACCTAGGGAGAGATTGGTTCGTTTTCAATCCCCTAACAATGGGCGCTCTAATTATTTAATATTATAAGGGTAGGGATTTCTGTGTTTTGTGCAGCGTGCTTTCTCAACCCTTATAGAAGTGCCTGATGGCCGAATACAGTGGGTCACGCTGGTAATCCTCACACTTTGGAAGGCCGAGGCGGGAGGATCGCTTGAGACCAGGAGTTCGAGTCCAGCCTGGGTAACATAGCAAGACCCCATCTCTACAAAATGCATATATATGGATCCAGGAGTAGTGGCGCGCACCTGTAATCCTAGCTACTCGGAAGGCTGGGGCGGGAGACTCGCTTGAACCCAGGTGGTGGAGGTTACAGTGAGCTGAGATGGCGCCACTGCTCTTCAGCCTGGGCGACAGAGCGAGACCATAGAGTAAGACCCTGTCTCAAAAAATTTAAAAAGGGCCCGTCGCGGTGGCTCACGCCTGTAATCCCAGCACTTTGGGAGGCCGAGGCGGGCGGATCACGAGGTCAGGAGATGGAGACCACGGTGAAGCCCCGTCTCCACTAAAAATACAAAAAATTAGCCGGGCGCGGTGGTGGGCGCCTGTAGTCCCAGCTACTCGGGAGGCTGAGGCAGGGGAATGGCGTGAATCCGGGAGGCGGAGCTTGCAGTGAGCCGAGATCGCGCCACTACACTCCAGCCTGGGCGACAGAGCGAGACTCCGTCTCAAAAAATAAAAAAAATAAAAGAAAAAACATTTTTAAAGAAAAGAAATAACCGACACAGAAAAAGCGTTCAATAAACATTTCTTGCATGAATAAAAGTAGTTTCTCTGGGACATTTTTACCCGCACCCACCCTCCAGCCAGCCCAGGGATCTATAACGCTCTCTCGGACAAGACCCGGTAACCACAGGCGCCCGAGCCCCAGCCGCGCAAGCTCACGATTGGGCCAGAAGTGATGATGAACAAGCATTCAACTCAATAGAAAGTCGTAGTTCTCTTGCTGGGCGTGGCTTGAATGGCTTCGGTGGCCTCCTCCTGCGAGGGAGCTCTAGCCTCTGGAAAGACTCCCCTAGTCCCCACCTCGCTCAGCTTCCGGCTGGTCATAGTTCCGCTTCCTGTCCGACTCTGGTATCTTTGCTGAGGGTGACATTGAGCTGCAAGTTGCATCTGGGGTGCCTTTAGGTGAGTGTGGAGGGTTCTGGAACCTGGGACCCCAGTCTAGCGGGCCGAGGAGCCGGACCCCAGCTTCCCTGAGAACGGGTTGAGGCTTCCGGCTGGCGGCGTCCGGCCTCCCTGCGCCCCGGGGCCCTGTTCTGTTCATCGTAAGGTCTAACAATGATACGGTTCTTCCTTGATGCCGGGCAACGTCCCAAACAACTTTAATTAATTCATTTAAGTCTCTCAGCAGCCCTGTGAGAGAGGGCCTGCGATTATCCCCTTTTGTCAGTAAACAGGCTCAGAGATACCAAGCGACCTAGCTGAGCCTACACAGCGAGCAGGATTTGACCCAGGAGTTTGTCCTCCAGGGCTCTTCACGGCCAATTCACAGGCGTGGCGTCCCGCGGCTTGCCTGGGCCGCAGCCTGGCTCCCGGGTGTCCAGTCCATCCTCCCTTTTGGACGTTGGAGGGGCTGCAGCGTCATTTCCGATGCACCCTCATCCTCAGATACCGGGTCGAGATCTCGCCGCTAACGATCCTACCGATTGCGTCTGTGCCCCAGCAGCTGGTGTTTTACACCCCACCTCCCCACCGGAAGACTGTTTTAGTGCTCCGGACCCCCACCACCACCTTGCGCCGCTTGAATCTGACACTGCTCTGCAAGTCTCTGTATAGCCCCACGACTCCTAGGATTCCCTGGAATATAGTAGACGCTTTCTCTCAGGTTCCCGACGAGCACTGTCATTTCTTCAGAGACATTATATTAAAGGTTTTTAACCCTGGGTCCGCAGGGCTGGTAGAATTCAAGGAATGCTAGTACTTGAATTGGGGTGGGGGTGGAATTACATCTGTGTTTTTACTAACCTTTTGAGGTAACAGCCTCGGTCGTACTAGCAGCAGCTGTGATTTTGTTAGCAATCAAAATCATATATATCCTTTTTTTATTTTTTTCTCCTTTTTTGAGACAGGGTCTCTGTGTCACCCAGGCTGGCGTGCAGTGGAGAAATCTTGGCTCACTGCAACCTCTGCTTCCCTCTGCAAGCGATCCTACTTCAGTAGCTGGAACCACAGGCATGTGCCACCACACCTGGCTAATTTTAATTTTATTTTATTTTATTTTATTTTATGTTTTGAGACAAGGTCTTGCCTCCCGAGTAGCTGGAATTACAGGTACATGCCACCACCCCCAGCTAATTTTTTGTATTTTTAGTAGAGACAGGGTTTTACCATGTTAGCCAGGCTGGTCTCGAACTCTTGACCTGAGGCGATCTGCCCACCTCGGCCTCCCAAAGTGCTGGTATTACAGGCATGAGCCACCATTCCCGGCCAATTTTAATATTTTTTTGTAGAGATGAGATGGGGTTTCACCATGTTGCCCAGGGTGGTCTCGAACTCTTGGGCTCAAGCGATCCTCCCACCTCAGCGTCCCAAAGTGCTGTGATTACAGGTGTGAGCCACCGTGCCCCACCCAAAATCACAGATATTCTTATATCACATTGTAACTGCAAATGTCACAAAGTACTATATTCATTTATGATTACTTCAAAATTGTATTCTTTTTTTTTTTTTTGGAGACAGTGTTTTTGCTCTTTTGCCCAGGTTGGAGTGCACTGGCACAATCTCGGCTCGCTGCAACCTCCGCCTCCTGGGTTCAAGTGATTCTCGTGCCTCAACATCCAGAGTAGCTGGGATTGAACCCAGGTGGTGGAGGTTGCAGTGAGCTGAGATCGCGCCACTGCTCTCCACGCGAGCTCATTTTTGTATTTTTAGTAGAGACAGGATTTCACCATGTTGGCCAGGCTGGTCTTGAACTCCTGACCTCAGGTGATCCACCCTGCCCCGCCCCCCGGCCTCACAAAGTGCTAGGATTACAGGCGTGAGCCACTGCACCCGGCAAAAATTGTATTCCTTAATGAATCCTCAGCTGGATATAACTGGTTTTCTTTGTGATGCTGTGCAGGTTTTTTTCTTTTCTTCGTGTACTCATGGAACCTATGCAATTTTTAAATACATTTAAACATATTCAGGCTGGATTTGGTGGCTCCCTCCTGTAATCTCAACATTTTGAGAGACCAAGCCAGACGGATCATTTGAGATCAGGAGTTCGAGACCAGTCTGACCAACATGGTAAAACCTTGTTTCTACTAAAAATACAAAAAAATTAGCAGGGCATGGTGGCGGGCGCCTGTAATCTCAGCTGTTCGGGAGGCTGAAGCAACAGAATTGCTTGAACCTGGGAGGTGGAGGTTCGTGAGCCTAGATCGTACCACTGCCCTCCAGCCTGGGTGACAGAGCAAGACTCTGTCTCAAAAAAAGAAAAAAAAAAAATTCAGCGAGAGGTTTATGGGATTCATCAGACTGCTGAGGAGTTTGTGGCACCAAAAAGATTAAGAATCTTTGCAGTGTAGATTATGCCAACAACGGAGGCAGCCCACCATTTATATTTATGCTGTTTAACCTTAGAAAGTCACTTAGACACCCTGTTCCTTCCTCGTCTGGGCAATGGTGATAGTAATAGTTCCTACCTTTTAGAGTAAAGTAGGAGTAATGTGTGTAGAACAGCGCCTGGCATGTAGTAAGCACTCAGTGAGTGTTAGCTCATGTTATTTGGGGACCAGGCTTGATTTTGCTGAGGAGTTGTACCCCAACCCTGCCGTGACCGCCACATTCAGATGTGTGAATTCGCCCTGCCCCTCATCTCTGTGTATGTTGAGAGGCAGGAACTTGTTCACACTCAGCCCATTCTTCTGTGCCTGCCCTCTTCCATTGATCCTGGGTAGTCTGGCTTGCTCGGGGGCCCTGGGCCCCCTGCCAACACCCACTCCTTTCGCCTCCAGGATTCAGCACCATGGCGGAAGAAGACATTGAGACCAAAATCAAGAACTACAAGACTGCCCCTTTTGACAGCCGCTTCCCCAACCAGAACCAGACCAGGAACTGCTGGCAGAACTACCTGGGTAAGCAGGACCTTTCCCTGGCCACATACCTCGAGTCACTCACCGCTTGCCTCTTCCTAGAGGACTCATCCACCCCAGCGTCCTCCCTTTTGTTCTGAACATCCTTACTCTGGAAGGCCCATACCTCTCATCACCTGCTGTTCAGGTCCAGGCCAGGGTTACAAACTTTAGTTCCTGCAATGATTTTTTTTTTTTTTAATTTAAATTTTTTATTATTATTATGTTTTGTTGTTGTTGTTGTTGTTGTTTTCCAGAGATGGGGTCTCACTGTCACCTAGGCTGGAGTGCAGTGGTGCAGTCATAGCTCACTGCAGCCTCAACCTCCTGGGCTCAAGAGGTCCTCCTACCTCAGCCTCTCGAGTAGCTGGGACCACAGGCCCACACTACTGCACTTGGCTAATTTTTTTGTAGAGAAGAGGTCTCGCTTTGTTGCCCAGGCTGGTCTCAGACTCTTGGCTTCATGTAATCTTCCTGCCTCAGCTTCCCAAAGTGTTGGGATTATAGTTGTGAGCCACTGTGCCTGGCCCCTACAATGATTTTTTTTTTTTTTTTAAGCTGTATGTGTGTGTGTAGTGTAACATGTACAGAAAGCACATAACAAACATATACAGCTAAATGAATAATTCTAAAGTGAACCCCTTGTGCAACCCTAACCGGGATAGAAAAGCAGACATTGCCCACACTCTTATCTCCCTACCTTCTTTCTTTCTTTCTTTCTTTCTTTCTTTCTTTCTTTCTTTCTTTCTTTCTTTCTTTCTTTATTTATTTAGTGTTTTTGAGACGGAGTTTCGCTCTTGTTGCCCAGGCTGGAGTGCAGTGGAGCGATCTTGGCTCACTGCAACCTCTGCCTCCCAGGTTCAAGCAATTCTCCTGCCTCAGCCTCCCCAGTAGCTGGAATTACAGGCATGTGCCACCACCCCTGGCTAATTTTGTCTTTTTAGTAGAGATGGGGTTTCTCCATGTTGGTCAGGCTGGTGTCGAACTCCTAACCTCAGGTGATCCGCCTGCCTCAGCCTCCCAAAGTGCTGGGATTACAGGCATGAGCCACTGCGCCTGGCCTCCCTGCCTTCTTTATGTCCTGTCTGGAACACAACACCCTGCTCTCCCCAGTAGAGAAGTGACCCCACTAACTGGGGGTGATCACATCTTTGTTTTTGTTTGGTTTTTTTTATTTGTTTTTGAGACTGAGTTTTTTGCTCTTGTTGCCCAGGCTGGAGTGCAATGTCACAATCTTGGCTCACTGCAACCTCCCCCGCCTCCTGGGTTCAAGCGATTCTCCTGTCTCAGCCTCATGAGTAGCTGGGATTACAGGTACCCACCACCATGCCCAGCTAATTTTTTGTGTTTTTTTGCTTTTAGTAAAGACGAGGTTTCACCATGTTGATCAGGCTGGTCTTGAACTCCTGACCTCAGGTGATCCACCCGCCTCGGCCTCCCAAAGTGTTGGAATTATTGGCGTGAGCCACTGCACAAGGCCTCACATCTTTGTTTTACCACCATGTTTTTTATTTTAGTTTATTTTATTGTATATATGTTATGTATATTATGTTATTTTGTTATGTTATTGATGGAGTTTCTTTCTCGTTGCCCAGGCTGGAGTGCAGTGGCACGATCTCAACTCTCTGCAACCTCTGCCTCCCGGGTTCAAGTGATTCTCCTGCCTCAACCTCCTGAGTAGCTGGGATTACAGGCGCCCGCAACCACACCCAGCTAATTTTTTTTTTGAGACGGAGTCTCGCTCTGTCGCCCAGGCTGGAGTGCGTGCGCGGTGCATCTCTGGCTCCGCAGGCTCGGCCTCCCAGGTTTCCAGCCATGCCTTGCCTCAAGCGCCCGCTGGACTACAGCACCCGCCACCACGTGCGGCTTTTTTTGATATTTTTAGTAGAGATGGGGTTGTCCCAGTTAGCCAGGTATGATCTTGATTCATGAGCCGTGGTCGCGCGCGGCGCTCCGGCGCTCCCAAGTGCTGATTAAGGCGGTGAGGCGAGGACGTGGGCTTTTTTTTTTTTTTTTTTGTTTTTTGTTTGTTGGAGTATGGAAGCTGGCTTTTGTCACGCCAGCGGGGGTTACAGTGGGTGCCTCTTAGAGCTCATGCAGCCTTTCACCGCGTCAGTTAAGCATTCTTGCTTCAGCTCTGAAACGGGGACCAGGACTGCCCACTGATGCGCTGGCTGATTGTTTTTTATTTTTATTTTTAGAGAGACCAGGGTTTACCTCTTGGCCAGCCCGTCTTAACTCGGCGACTTCTGATCCACCGCCCAGCCCCGCCTCCCAGAAGTGCTGTGAGCAGTTAAGTGGAGCCGAGGTCCTGCCAATTTGTTTTTTTTTTTTTTTTTTTGAGACAGAGTCTTGCTCCGTTGCCCAGGTTGGAGTGCAGTGGTGTAATCTCAGCTCACTGCAACCTCCGCCTCCTGGGTTTAAGCAATTCTCCTGCCTCAGCCTCCTGAGTAGCTGGGACTACAGGCACGTTTCACCACACCCGGCTAATTTTTTGTGTTTTTAGTAGAGACGGGATTTCACCATGTTGGCCAGGCTGGTCTCGATCTCCTGACCTCGTGATCCACCTGCCTCAGCCTCCCAAAGTGCTGAGATTACAGGCGTGAGCCACCATGCCTGGCCAATTGTTTGTATTTTTAATAGAGACAGGGCTTCACCATGTTGTCCAGGCTGGTCTCGAACTCCTAACCTCAAGTGATCCACCTGCCTCGGCTTCCCAAAGTGCTGGGATTACAGGTGTGAGCCACCACGCCCAGCTACCACCGTGTTTAGATTCACCTCTTTGTGAACTTTATAAGTACTGTGTGTATTCTTTTGTGTTTGTATTTTTTCATTCGAATATCGTCTCAGATGTATACATGCTGTGGCATATAGCTTGTTCATTTTCATTGCTGTTCAGTTTTCTACAATTTATTCTACGCCTGGACACTTGTGTGATTTTCATTTTGGAGTTCTTTCAAATGGTGTGGCTGTTAATATCTTTATAAATGTAATTTTGCTGGATGCGGTGACTCCCACCTGTAATCCTAGCACTTTGGGAGGCCGAGGCAGGCAGATCAAGACCAGCCTGGCCAACATGGCGAAACCCTGTCTCTACTAAAAATACAAAAAATTAGCCGGGTATGGTGGCAGGCGCCTGTAATCCCAGCTATTCGAGAGGCTGAGGCAGGAGAATCACTTGAACCCAGGAGGAGGTAGGGGTTCCAGTGAGCCAAGGTCACACCATTGCACTCCAGCCTGAGTGACAGAGCGAGACCCTACCTCAAAAAAAAAAAAAAAAAAAAAAAAATGTGCTCCAGCTCTTGATCTGGGCTGACTTGAACCCCTTTCTTCACAGACTTCCACCGCTGCCAGAAGGCAATGACCGCTAAAGGAGGCAATGTCTCTGTGTGCGAATGGTACCAGCGTGTGTACCAGTCCCTCTGCCCCACATCCTGGGTATGTGCCTCCTACCAGGGCCCTTGGGATGCTGGGCTGGGGTCTTTGCAGAGGGGAGTGTGGTGGCTTGGTGGGAGCTCATCTGTGAGGGGCAGAGGGAGGACAGGGCTCCACACTGTCCCAGGACTCAATGCCTTTCCTCCCTCCTAGAATTGCCTCCCTTTCTCCTTCTGCTGATGCCTCTCAACCAGTCAGGGCTCTCAGCTGAGGTGACCAGGGCATCTTGCTAGATGTAGCTCACTCATGCACTCTCCAAATACACACTCAGCACTGGGTTCCCATCCCTGTATAGCTCACAATTCTGTGCAGTCCTGTCCTTTTTTATTATGAGCATTTTCTTTTTCTTTCTTTTTTTTTTTAAGACAGTCTTGCTCTGTTACCAGGCTGGAGTGCAGTGGTGCGATCTTGGCTCACTGCAACCTCCGCCTCCCAGGTTCAAGCGATTCCCCTGCCTCAGCCTCCCAAGTAGCTGGGACTACAGGTGTGCACCACCACACCCAGCTAGTTTTTTGTATTTTAATAGAGATGAGGTTTCACCATGTCAGCCAGAATGGTCTCGATCTCCTGACTTCATGATCCACCCGCCTCGGCCTCCCACAGTGCCAGGATTATAGGTGTGAGCCACCACGCCCAGCCCTATTATGAACATTTTCAAAGTAGAGAGAATAATTCATTGACCCCAAATACATCCATCACCCAAAGTGAATAGTTATCAAGATTTATCCACAGTTTCTTCATCTACCCTTTTTTTTTTCTTCTTTCCTTTGCTGAAGTATTCTAAAGCAAGTCCCAGACACATCATTTCACCCCTGCCTACTTCAGTGTAGACTTCTAAGTAATGACACAGTAAGAGAGTCCCTTCAGCCCTGATCTGAGCAAATCTGTTGTCAATATTTAATAGCTCTTTGCTATGCCCCTGCCCTTTGTTTAAAAAACAAAAACAGAAACAAGTTTTTAAAGACAGGGTCTCACGATGTTGCCTCGGCAGGACTCGGACTCCTGGGTTCAAGTGTTCCTCCTGCCTCAGCCTCCTGAGTAGCTGGGACTATAGGCATGTGCCACTGTGCCTGCCTCTCTCTGTGTCTCTTTCTCTCTTTCTCTCTCTCCCCTCCCTTCCTCTCTCTCGCTCTCTCCCTCCCCCTCTCTCCTTCTCTCCCTCTGTCCTTCTCTCCCTCTCTCCCTGTCTCCCTCTCCTTCTCCCACTCTTTCTTTCTTTCCTTTCTTTCTTTTCTTTTCTTTCTTGAGTCTTACGCTGTTGCCCAGTCTGGAGTGCAGTAGCATGATCTCGGCTCACTGTAACCTCCGCCTCCTGGGTTCAAGTGATTCTCCTGCCTCAGCCTCCTGAGTAGCTGGGACGACAGGCATGAGCCACCACACCTCGCCCAATTTTTGTATTTTTTTGTAGAAATGGGGTTTCGCCATGTCGCCCAGACTGGTCTCGAACTCCTGAGCTCAAAGCAGTCTGCCTGCCTCAGCCTCCCAAAGTGCTGGGATTATAGGCGTGAGCTACCTCACCCAGCTCAATCTTTCAAAATAAAAAAAATTACCCTTCTTTAACTTGGCAATTCCACATCTAGGCATGCTACAAAAATCTTCATGTACAAAGATGCCCATTGCAGAGCTGTTCGTAATGGGGAATATTTGGAAATAACCCAACTTAAAACATTTATCTTGATAGTCTTTATGGAGACTGTGGTGATCTACGTGCTGGCACACGGAAAGAATGCTAAGACACAGGAAAAGCAAGTTGCAGAACAATCTATATAGTAGGAGTCAATTTGCAAGGATGGAGTTTTTATGGTGTGGTGTGTGTATGTAAATAAAGTAGGCATACACTGATGGCACTTATTATGGGCCAGCTATGTTGTTAGCACTTTTTTTTTTTTTTTTTTTTTTTGAGGTGGAGTCTTGCTGCTCTGTCTCCCAGGCTGGAGTGCAGTGGTGCAATCTCAGCTCACTGCAACCTCCGCCTCCCAGGTTCAGGCAATTATCCTGCCTCAGCCTCCCGAGTATCTGGGATTACAGGCGCCTGCCACCACGCCCAGCTGATTTTTGTATTTTTAGTGGAGACAGAGTTTCACCATGTTGGCCAGGCTGGTCTCAAACTCCTGACCTCAGGTGATCCACCTGCTTCGGCCTTCCAAAGTGCTGGGATTACAGGCGTGAGCCACCGCGCCCGGCCATGTTAGCACTTTACATCACATGAGGTCAACATGCTAAAACAACCGTATGAGGTAGGTACTATTGTTAGTATCCTCATTTTACAGAATTGGAAACTGAGGCCCAGAAAGGTTGAGTAACTTGCCCAAGGTCACACAGCTCGGAAGTGATGGAGCAGGGATTCACATTCAGTCTCTCCGTTGTCCATGCTTTCATCCACTGTTCCTTGCACCAGTGGTCCTCACCCTTTTTGGCACCAGGGACGGGTTTCATGGAAGACAGTTTTTCCACAGACAGGGTTGGGGATGGTGTAAGGATGAGTCCAGCATATTACATGTATTGTCCACTTTATTCCTACTATTATTACAATATATAATAAAATAATTATACAACTCACCATACTGTAGAATCAGTGGGAGCCCTGAGCTTGTTTTCCTCCAATGGGATGGTCCCATCTGGGGGTGATGGGAGACAGTGACAGATCATCAGGCATTAGATTCTCATAAGGAGCGCACCGCCTAGATCCCTCGCATGCGCAGTTCACAATAGGGTTCGCACTCCTGTGAGAATCTAATGCCGCCGCTGATCTGACAGGAGGTGGAACTCGGGCAGTAATTTGAGCCTTAGGGAGTGCTTGTAAATATAGTTCAAGCTTCTCTCGCTCACCTGCCACTCACTTCCAGTTGTGCGGCCCAGTTCCTAACAGGCCACAGACCAGTACCTGGTTGGGGCTCAGGGACCCCTGCCTTATAGCATAAAATGTGAGCGTGTATGTATATAAAAACGTTTATGCTTGTAACTGCCTGTGAGGTCCACAGAGTAGAGTGTTACTTTCAGGAAGTGTTAATTTGACATAGGCCTTATATGGGCCTTTTCATCTTTTTTTTATTTTTATTTTTATTTTTGTTTTTAGAGAGACAATCTTGCTCTGTCACTCAGGCTGGAGGGCAGTGTGCAATGGTAGCATCATAGCTCACTGCAGCCTCGAACTCCTGGGTTCAGGCAGTTCTCCCACCTCAGCCTCCCTAGTCACTGAGACTACAGGTGCATGCCACCATGCCTGGCTAAGTTTTGTATCTTTTGTAGAGACAGGGTTTTGCCACGTTCACCAGGCTGGTCTCAAACTCCTGGGCTCAAGCGATCCTTCCACTTCCACCTCGCAAAGTGCTGGGATTATAGGCAGGAGCCACAATGTCCCGCTTGTTTTTTATTTTTTGTAGAGATGGAGGTCTTGCTGTGTTGTCCAGGTTGGTCTCAAACTCCTGAGCTCAAGCAGTCCTCCTACAAAGTGCTGGGATGACAGGCGTGAGTCGTGAGTCACCACACCCGGCCTCTATCATTTATACTAAGCATTGCCTGTGGTCAGTGGTGGGATTGCACTGTGTATTCCGTTTGGCACCTTTTTTGCGCTTGACTGTATATCTTGAAGATCCATCCATTCATGCCGGAACATAAATCAGCCTCGTTTTGTTTTTTCACAGCTGCCTGCTATTCCATCTCCCCTATTTGGACAAACAGCATAGTGTTGACATGAGGTTTTCAAAGCAGGGCCCACCCTTGGAGCTCTGTACAGTGACAGATCTCCCCATCGACAGCTCTGCAGTGGGCCTGGGGCTTTCCTGCTGCCCGTTACTCTCCTCCCAGCACGTCAGCTTGTTCAGAACAGTGATTTCTGTCTTTTGGGATCACTGCTGATTCCCCGGCCCCTGGAATAGAGGTTGGCACACAGCAGGTACCTGTGGATATTGGTTGAACAAACAGGTGGGCAAAGTGAGGAAGATAAGAAGTCCCCCCATGCGGTTTCCCTACCGCGGTGGGAATAACACTGTCTTTCCACAGGTCACAGACTGGGACGAGCAACGGGCTGAAGGCACGTTTCCCGGGAAGATCTGAACTGGCTGTACCTCCCTGTCCTCTGTCCTCTGTCCTTCTCCCAGGATGGTGAAGGGGGACCTAGTACCTAGTGATCCCCACCCCGGGATCCTAAATCATGACTTACCTGCTAATAAAAACTCATTGGAAAAGTGAGACCGTGCATGTGAATGGGCTAGGCAGTGGCAAGAAGCTGGGCTGGAACCAGTGCCCTGACCAGGGAGGGGCTTCAGTGAGTATTTTTTCTGTTTTGTTTTTTTTTTTTTAAATTTAATTTAATTGTTTTATTTTGTTTTTGTTTTTTTATGATAGAATCTCATTTTGTCACACAGGCTGGAGTGCAATGGCATGACCTCTGCTCACTGCAACCTCCACCTCTGGTGTTCAAGCGACTCTCCTGCCTCAGCCTCCCAACTAGCTGGGTCTACAGGCGCACTCCACCACGCCTGGCTAATTTTTGTATTTTTAGTAGAGATGGGGTTTCACCATGTTGGCCAGGCTGGTCTCAAACTCCTGACTTCAGGTGATCCACCTGCCTCAGCCTCCCAAAGTGCTGGGATTACAGGCATGAGCCACCGCGCCTAGCATTTTTTACCCTTAATTTTATTGAACCTTGACTACCCTCTCTGTGCCAGTCAATGAGTAAAATAGTTGATTATACAGAATAACCTAAGTACCTATGTGTGCAACCACCCTACATAATTTTAAAGCAAATCCTGGAGATTATATTTTATCCAGAAATAAGAAACTATATGTATCTCTTGGAGATACCATTTATTTTTTTTTTTTTGAGACTGAGTCTCAATCTGTTGCCCAGGCTAGAGTGCAGTGGTGTCATCTCAGCTCTCTGCAACCTCTGCCTTCTGGGTTCAAACTATTCTCCTGCCTCGAGATACCTATTTTTTTTAACATAATTATTTATACCTAAGAAATTAGTTCTTAATGGCCAGGTGCGGTGGCTCACGCCTATAATCCCAGCACTTTGGGAGGCCGAGGCGGGCGGATCACCTGAGGTCTGGAGTTCAAGACCATCCTGGGCAACACGGTGAAACCCCATCTCTACTAAAAATACAAAATTGGCCGGGCGTGGTGGCACATGCCTGTAATCCCAGCTACTTGGGAGGCTGAGGCAGGAGAATCGCTTGAACCTGGGAGGCGGAGGATGCGGTGAGCCGAGATGACGCCATTGGACTCCATCCTGGGCAACGAGTAAATCTCCGTCTCACCAAAAAAAAAAAAAAAGAAGAGTTCTTAGTATCATAAGCAATCTCCTGCACAATGTGTAACTTCTCCCTGTGTTGGGACTTGCTCTTTCATGCTGATCACGATGGTAGTTGGAAGTCATTTAAGTAGGCCAAACTGAAGGCCGGGCGCGGTGGCTCACACCTGTAATCCCAGCACTTTGGGAGGCCGAGGCAGGCGGATCACGAGGTCAAGAGATCCAGACCATCCTGGCCAACATGGTGAAAACCCGTCTTTACTAAAAATATAAAAATTAGCCGGGCACGGTGGCGGGCGCCTGTAGTCCCAGTTACTCGGGAGGCTGAGGCAGGAGAATGGCGTGAACCCAGGAGGCGGCGCTTGCAGTGAGCCGAGATCGCGCCACTGCACTCCAGCCTGGGCGACAGAGCAAGACTCCGTCTCAAAAAAAAAAAAAAGGCCAAATTGAGAGCTGTTCTTCATGGTGCCCCCAAAAGAATTGCCACACAATAACAGCCCAGAATATCCCCAACAGACGTGTCAAGAGGGACCCAGCCAGCATGACCAGCTGGAACATTCTCATGGCTGAACTGGTGTGTCCTAAAAACCTTTCAAATGACTGGGGCGCAGTGACTCACACCTGTAACCCTAGCACTTTGGGAGGCCCAGGCGAGCCGGTCACGAGGTCAGGAATTCAAAACCAGCCTGGCCAAGCTGGTGAAACCCATCTCTTCTAAAAATACAAAAAAAAAAAAAAAAAAATTGGCCCTGGTGTGGTGGTGCACGCCTGTAATCCCAGCTGCTAGGGAGGCTGAGGCAGGACAATCACTTCAACCTGGGAGGTGGAGGTTACAGTGAGCTGAGATTACACCACTGCACTCCAATCTGGGCGACAGAGTGAGACTCCATCCCAAAAAACAAAAATAAACTTCAAATAGTGACAAACTTGTCTGGTGCGTTCACATGAGCAGAGATGATTCTTGTATGGAGAGAAATGGCCCCAGAGATAGATCTTGTTAAATAGCTGCTCATGAGGAAAAGTGGCTGTAGGGGCTGGGCACGGTGGTTCATGCCTGTAATGCCAGCACTTTGGGAGACCGAGGCGGCCAGATAACCTGAGGTTGGGAGTTCGAGACCAGCCTGACCAACATGGAGAAACCCCGTCTCTACTAAAAATACAAAATTAGCCAGGCGTGGTGGTGCATGCCTGTAACCCCAGCTACTCTGGATGCTAAGGCAGGAGAATCGCTTGAACCCAGAAGGCGGAGGTTGCTGTGACCCGAGATTGCGCCATTGCACTCCAGCCTGGGCAACGAGCGAAACTCCGTCTCAAAAAAAAAAAAAAAAAAGCGGCTGTAAACAGGATCTTAGTGCACACACAGGGAGCTTGAGGGATCGTGGGAGGAGGTTATGACGTGGGTCGGAAGTAGCAAAGAACTTAAACACCATGAAAAAAAAAATTTGTTTTGAGATGGAGTCTTGCTCTGTTGTCCACACTGGAGTGCAATGGTGTGATCTCTGCTCACTGCAACCTCCACCTCCCGGTTCAAGCAATTCCACCTCAGCCTCCCAAGAAGCTGGGATTACAGGTGCCTGCCACCACACCCAGCTAAAATTTTTTTTGTATTTTTAGTAGAGGTTTAGAGAGTAGTTTTACCATGTTGGCCAGGCTGGTCTCGAACTCCTGACCTCAGGTAATCCATCCACCTTGGCCTCCCAAAGTGCTGGGATTAAAGGCATGAGCCACACTGTGCCCAGCCAACACCATGAAAATTTCAAATGAAACAGGATGGCCAATGAAAAGTTAAGGTGCTGGACTCCTTGAGTCCAGCTGCCCAGTTCTGCCCAGGGTTTGCCACCAGTGCCAGTGTTTCCTGTACATTCCTTTGGAGATAGCTCATACATCTAGAAGTATTTGTAAATATATTGATCTGATTGGATACAATGCCCGTTTCCTCCCTGATGTACTACTTCCATTTGCTCACACGGCCCCTGCCACACTGGCCTCTTCAGTGCACAAGAACTGTGAGCAAATGAGGTATTTCGATATACCAGGCTGGCTCCAACGCCTTTACGCTCCAGTCCTTTACACTTGCTGTTTGCTCGACCAGGAATGTTTAGCCACCAGGTGTCCACAAGCTCACTCCTCACTGCCTTCAGGTCTTCATTAAGGGAGGCCTTCTCTGACCACTCAGCCTTCACCTTCAACTCCTCCCCCTTTGTGCCCCTTCACTCCTTTTGTTTCTTTCTCTTTTTAAAAATTTTTATTTATTTATATTTTAATTTTTGGAGACGGAGTCTCACTCTGTTGCCAGGCTGGAGTGCAGTGGCGCAATCTCGGCTCACTGCAATCTCAGACTCCCTGATTCAAGCGATTCTCCTGCCTCAGCCTCCCAGGTAGCTGGGATTACAGGCATGCATCGCCACGCCCAGCTAATTTTTGTATTTTTAGTAGAGACAGGGTTTCACCATGTTGGCCAGGATGGTCTCCATCTCCTGATCTTGTGATCCACCCAGCTCAGCTTCCCAAAGTGCTGGGATTACAGGTGTGAGCCACCACGCCTGGCTTTGTTTCTTAAGCACTTACCACTAATATGCCAAATATTATCCTTCATCATTGCACCACTGGAATGTATTTCCACGTGGGCAGATTTGAAAATATATATTTAATTCCCCCTTTCAGCTCTTTTTTTTTTTTTTTTAGATAAGGTCTTGTTCTGTCACCGAGGCTGGCATGTAGTGGCGTAATCTTGGCTCACTGCAGCCTCCCCCGCCCAGACTCAAGCCATCTTCCTACCTCAGCCTCTCAAGTAGCTAGGACCACAGACATGGACCACCATACTCGGCTAGTTTTTTGTTTGTTTAATAGAGACAGGGTTTCACCATGTTGCCCAGGCTGGTCTCAAACTCCTGAGCTCAGGTGATCTGCCTGCCTTAGCCTCCCAAAGTGCTGGAATTACAGGCCTGAGCCACCGCACGCCGGCCTGCTTTTTTCCAAATGTTCTAATCTTTCTCTTTTTTCTTTTTTTTTGACACAAGACCTCGCTCTGTCACCCAGCCTGGAGTGCGGAGTGCGGTGGCCTGATCACAACTCACTGCAGCCTTGAACTCCCAGGCTCAAGAGATCCTCCCACCCCAGCCTCTCGAGTAGCTGGGACTACAGTCATATGCCACCATGCCCAGCTAATTTTTGTATTTTTTTGTAGAGATGGAGTTTGCCCATATTGCCCAGGCAGGTCTGCAATTCCTGGGTTCAAGTGATCCTCCCGCTTCAGCCTCCCAAGGTGCTGGGATTACAGGCATGAGCCACTGCACCCAGTCTAGCTGTTAATCTTATTGATGATTAATTACATGTGATGGGTTACTTCTCAGTTGCTGCTTTCAAGGTTCTCTTTTTATCTTTCAATAATTTGATTATGATATGTCTGGTGATGGATATCTTTGAGTTTATCCTATTTGAAGATTGTTGAGCTTCTTGGCTCTATAGATTGATGTTTTTTTCATCAAATTTTGGGAGTTTCAGCCATTCTTTTTTCACATATTATTTTTTACTCCCTTCCTTTTTGTCCTCTCCTGCTGGGACTCCCATTGTTTGATGATGTCTCATAGGTCTCTGAAGCTCTGTTCATTTATCTTCATTCATTTTTCTTTCTGTTCCTTAGACTTGATCATCTCAACTGATCTGTTCTCACATTCACCGATCTTCTGCCTACTCAAATCTGTTGTTGAACCCTCTATTGATTTTTTCTTTTCTGTCTTTTTTTTTTTTTTTTTTTTTGAGACGGAGTCTCGCTCTGTCGCCCAGGCTGGAGTGCAGTGGCGTGATCTCGGCTCACTGCAAGCTCCGCCTCCCGGGTTCACGCCATTCTCCCGCCTCAGCCTCCCAAGTAGCTGAGACTACAGGCGCCCGCCACCACGCCCGGCTAGTTTTTTGTATTTTTAGTAGAGACGGGGTTTCACCATGTTAGCCAGGATAGTCTCGATCTCCTGACCTCGTGATCCACCCGCCTCGGCCTCCCAAAGTGCTGGGATTACAGGCTTGAGCCACCGCGCCCGGCCGCTGTTTTTTTTTTTTTGAAGGAGGGCACGGGGACAGAGTCTCACTCTGTTGCCCAGGCTGGAGTGCAGTGGCGTGATCTTGGCTCACTGCAAGCTCCGCCTCCCGGGTTCACGCCATTCTCCCGCCTCAGCCTCCCAAGTAGCTGAGACTACAGGCGCCCGCCACCACGCCCGGCTAGTTTTTTGTATTTTTAGTAGAGACGGGGTTTCACCATGTTAGCCAGGATAGTCTCGATCTCCTGACCTCGTGATCCACCCGCCTCGGCCTCCCAAAGTGCTGGGATTACAGGCTTGAGCCACCGCGCCCGGCCGCTGTTTTTTTTTTTTTGAAGGAGGGCACGGGGACAGAGTCTGACTGTGTCGCCCAAGCTGGAGTGCAGTGGCGTGATCTTGGCTCACCACAACCTCCACCTCCCAGGTTCAAGTGATTGTCGCCTCAGCCTCCCAAGTAGCTGGGACTACAGGCGCATGCCACCATGCCCGGTTAATTTTGTTTATTTTTAGTAGAGACAGGGTTTCACTATGTTAGCCAGGATGGCCTCAATCTCATGACCTCGTGATCTGCCCACCTCGGCCTCCCAAAGTGCTGGGATTATAGGCGTGAGCCACTGCGCCCGGCCCATTTGAGTATTTTCATTTTAGTTACTGTAATTTTCAAGTTCCAAATTTCTGTTTAGTTCTTTTTAAATAATTTCTGCTTTTAGGCCAGGCATGGTGGCTTACACCTGTAATCCCAGCACTTTGGGAGGCCAAAGTGGGAGGTTCACTTGAAGTCAGGAGTTTGAGACTAGCCTGGCCAACACTCCGTCTAAAAACAAACAAACAAACAAACAAACAAAAAAGACGGTATTCTTTAGCATGTGTTCAGCTAATGATTGGACAAAGATTTCCTTAGCCTCCAAGAACCAATAATCTCTTAGCCTTTGCTGAGGCATGGTGGGCCATGCAATTGAGCCAGGCAATTGACAACTCTGCCTTCATCATTACTTCTCCCAGGAAGGCACACATCCTCAAGGTCAGCCCAATGTAAGAAGACTGGGTTCTCATCTCTGGTCTTTCTTGAGCCTGCATATACTCCTGGGCATGCACACAACCCTATGCATGCATGTAACCTTCTAGATTTCCAAGAATATTTTGGAGTTTTTCAAAGCCTTCTCATTCCCCAGCTTTATCTTTTAAACTTTTTCATTAGCCTATTATTGGCCTCAACTGTTATTCATTGCTTAGGCAGCTGCCTAGTTGAGCAATTGCATACAATTTTGTTTCACAAATGCCCCTGGGGAAATAATTCTGACGATGTATGAGCTCTAAGGTCAAATATAGACAATATTGCAAGCAGGGGCTTCCAAGGAACCACAAGACGAATCAAATAATTCTGACTTTCTGGGAGTCAGGCTTTTAAGGAGTTTCATCCTCTTCTGCTCCATTTGGTATATGCCAGGCTGCTAGTTTCCACTGAGAATGCCGGCACTTAATATTCAAGGCTACCATGGAGCTGGAGTGGGGAAATGGAACTAGGGCAATTAAAAATGTCACGAAGTACAAAAATTAGCTGGGCGTGGTGGCGGGTGCCTGTAATCCCAGCTACTTGGGAGGCTGAGGCAGGAGAATCACTTGAACCTGGGAGGCGGAGGTTGCAGTAAGCTGAGATCACGCCACTGCATTCCAGCCTGGGCGACAGACTGTATCTCAAGAAAGCAAAAATAAAAATTTTTTAAAATATCATAAAGTTCACTGCTCTAGGATTCAGCTGCTTTTCTTTCTTTCTTTTTTTTTTTTTTTTTTTGAGACGGAGTCTCGCTCTCGATCTCCTGACCTCATGATCTGCCCATCTCGGCCTCCCAAAGTGCTGGGATTACAGGCTTGAGCCACCGCGCCCGGCCAGCTGCTTTTCTTGAATAAACACTTTTCAGATTTTTGTTGTTGTTGAGACAGAGTCTCACTCTGTCACCCAGGTTGGAGTGCAACCATGGCGCGACCTTGGCTCACCGCAACCTCTGCCTCCCAGGTTCAAACGATTCTCCTGCCTCAGCCTCCTTGAGTAGCTGGGATTACGGGCACCTGCCACCACACCCGGCTAATTTTGTATTTTTAGTAGAGATGGCGTTTCACCATGTTGGTCAGCCTGACCTCTCAGGTGATCCCCCCACCTCAGCCTCCCAAAGTGCTGGGATTACAGGCGTGAGCCACCGCGCCCGGCCAAAACAAATATTTTAAAATCTCAAGTGAGTTGACTAAAACCAAATTAACCATTTTAATCGGAAAATATCTCGTGTATCTAATTACCAAACCAGTGCCTTGATGATGGGATTTTCAATGTCATTTGTTTGCCAGATTCGCAGGCACCACAGTGGGGAACCACGGCTCCAACAGCAGAGGCAATACACGGCCTGGCCTTGGGGTTGAGAAGTTCTGGGGATGGTGTCCCCATCCCCAGATGGGGACCCGGGCCGGGCCACCATTTTTGCCTGTGAAGCCAGCCCTGCGCCACAAGGGGGCAGCATCAGAGAGACCATGGCCTCTTGGGAGCCAGCTGCAGGGCATGGCCGTGGGCAGCATCGCCCCTTGGAGACATGCACTGGCTCAGTCCCCACCGCTGCCAGGAAGCAGTCTGATGACACCCATTTCGTAGGTGGGCAAATCCACAGGCCAAGTTGCACCGGCCAGAAGAGGCGGAACCGGGATTCGAACCTAGGTTTCTCATTCTGCAGCCTGAAGAAATACATGTCTGCTTGGTCCATGTGTGTGTTGGGGGGCGACAGGGACTTTTCTTCAATCAAGCCCAGTGTGCCCCTCTTACTTTCTAGCATGTTCTTCTCCCCGCTCTTTGTACGCATCTCAGACTCCCCTCACACATCTATCCTGGGTGCCATCCTTTCCCTCAGCCCACCGCCCATGTAATCAGCCTCCTAAGCACCCCTTCCACCTGTCCCCTCATCTCCCCACTGCTGTGTCTTGGTGCAGCCCTGGCCTCGGCAGGGGTCCCTGCCTGGGCCTCCCCACGGGCTCCCGGCTTCACAGAGGAGCAGCCACCTGCCCAAGGTCACACAGCAGAAGAGGCACTTTTGGGATTCAGGACCCATCTGTGGGTCTGAAGTGGATTTTTTTGTTTGTTTTTGGAGACAGGGCCTGGCTCTGTCACTCAAGCTGGAGTGCAATGGCATGATCTTGGCTCACTACAACCTCTGTCCCCCAGGTTCAAGCCATCCTCCCACCTCAGCCTCCCAAGTACTGGGACCACAGGCATGAGTCTGGCTGATTAATTTTGTATTTTTTTTTTTTGAAACGGGGTTTCACCGTGTTATCCAGTCTGCTCTCAAACTACTGAGCTCAAGCGATCCGCTTACCTCAGTTTCCCAAAGTGCTGGGATTACAGGCCTGAGCTACCACGCCCTCCCCTGATTTGGATCTTGCTCCTACTTCCAGGAAGGCCCATGTCCTAGCAAGAGAGATGCCAGGTGGTGTGCGCACCCCTCCACCCCCAACTCCACCACCAACGGAGCCTGGGACCCAGAGGCCATGGGTCCTACACAATCTGGAATTTCAAGTCTATAAATCATGGGGGTGGCAGGGAGCCCATAGAAGCTGTTCACCCATCCTGGTCTGCCGGCTCGGCCTCTTGTCCACCCCCTGCCGTGCCCCAAAACACACATACACACCCTCCCTCTTTCCTGGGAGACCGGCCCAAGGAGGGGCCTGGGCATATATAGAAGCCACAGTGGGTGGAGATGGCCAGAGAGGCTGCAGACAGAGAAGGTGAGGAGGGGACTCTGGAAGTCTGGGTGTGGCATAGGGGGTCTGAGGCTCAGGAAGGGGCAGTGCCAAGTTCGGGCCAGTGACTGCCCCACCGGAGCCTGGGTGTCCTCTTCTGCAAAATGCCTCCCCGCCAGGGCTGTGGGCACATCGGTACCAGCCTGGGCCCTGCAGAGAGCTGGAGCAACCCCTCGCAGCTGGGGTGTGGCTCAGAGATGGGGGGTTCGGCTGGCCCTTTACACTCCTGGCCTCATCCTTGCTCATGTGTCCCAGGATGATGGCGTCTGCAGCAGCAGCAGAGGCCGAGAAGGGATCTCCAGTTGTGGTGGGCCTGCTAGTTGTGGGCAACATCATTATTCTGGTGAGACTCGCCCCAGTGCTGGGAGCCGAGTGGTTGTGTGGTGGGGAGAGGGCAGTCCTGAGCTCGGGGTGGGGGATGAGGGTCCAGAACTGTCTCTTGGGCAGACTCAGTGATCAGCACAGCCTGGGTTTAAATCCCAGCTCTGCCTCTCCCCAGCTCTGTGACCTTAGCAAGCGACTGTCCCTCTCTGTGCCTTCTTTCCTCATCTATAGATTGTGTCCTCATTGCATGAGCTGTTGTCATGTGGATTAATCCATGTATGGTCCTCAGCTCAGAGAAAGTGCCCGACCAATGCTGGCTATCACCATCAGCATCACTATGGATATAAAGTGACCGCCTGGTGCACAGGAGGCCACAAGAAGGAAAAACAACAGTGTCTTTCAATTAACGTTGGGTTTTGGTTTTGTGTTTTTTCGTTTTGTTTTGTTTTGTTTTGTTGAGACGGAGTCTCACTCTGTCACCCAGACTGGAGTGCAGTGGCCGATCTCAGCTAACTGCAACCTCCAACTCCCGGGCTCAAGTGATTATCCTGCCTCAGCCTCCAGAGTAGCTGGGATTACAGATGCACACCACCACACCTGGCTAGTTTTGTTTTTTTTTAGACGGAGTCTCCCTCTGTCACCCAGGCTGAAGTGCAGTGGCGAGATCTCAGCTCACTGCATCCTCCACCTCCTGGGCTCAAGCAATTCTCCTGCCTCAGCCTCCCGAGCAGCTGGGATTACAGGCACACACCACCACACCCGGCTACTTTTGTATTTTTAGTAGAGGCAGGGTTTCTACTGTTGGCCAGGCTGGTCTTGAACTCCTGACCTGAGATGATCTGCCCACATCAGCCTCCCAAAGTGTTGGGATTACAGGTGTTAGCCACCGTGCCTGGCCTTGTGTTTGTTTTAGAGACAGGGTCTCGCTCTGTTGACCAGGCTGCAGTGCAGTGGTGTGATCCTAGCTCACTGCAGCCTGCAACTCCTGGGCTGAACTGATCCTCCCGACTAGCTGGGACTACAGGTGCACATCACCACATCTGGCTAATTTTTTTATTTTTCGTAGAGACAGGGTCTCACTATTGCCCAGGCTGGTCTCAAACTCCTGGACTCAAGCAATCCTCTTGCCTCGGCCTCCCACAGTGCTGGGATTGCAGGTGTGAGCCACCTTGCCTGGCCCATTTGTAATTTTTATGGCCATGGCTATGTTCCCCTCCTCGGGGAAAAACAGCACCGTCAAGGGAGGGCAGGTGAACGAACCATCTCCTCTGTGCCAGTCCACTGCTCCAGCCTTTCCACGTGGCATCCCCTTTCATCCCCGAACAACTGGCAGCTGGGGCGTGAGGGTCGGTTGTCTGGCTGGGTTTCTTCTCTCCTGGCCTCTGCTCACCCTCATCGCTGCTCATAGAGGGCGAGGTCTTTGCCCACTTTACTGTGAGGGCAGTGGGGGCTCCGAATGGGGAAGGAACTTGCTGGTGGAGATGCCTGGTGCCAGGGCTGCTGGCCCCGAGCAGACCTTCCTAACCTGCCGCTCTGTTCAGCTGTCAGGCCTGGCCCTGTTTGCCGAGACCGTATGGGTGACAGCCGACCAGTACCACATATACCCACTGATGGGAGTCTCAGGCAAGGATGACGTCTTCGCTGGCGCCTGGATTGCCATCTTCTGCGGCTTCTCCTTCTTCGTGGTAGCCAGTTTTGGTGTGGGCGCCGCGCTCTGCTGCCGCCGGTCCATGGTCCTCACGGTGAGGCCCCGGGGGTGGGGGGATGGGGACATTGAAAACGGAGTTCAGCATCACTGAGTCATAGTAGCAGGTGCCGCCCCAGCCACTAGTGTGAGTTCCCCACAGTGTCACAGTCAGGGATCCCAGGCATCATCTCACTCAGTCTTCCCACAGCCCAGTAACCCAGGCTCTGCAGTTACCCCCATTTAATGAAGAAAACAGGCAGAGACAGGGGAGTGGGACTCTGCACAGTGGGAGGACTTGAGTAGCAGGGCTGGGAATTTTTTTTTTGGTAAAGATGGGGGGGATCTCACTATGTTGCCCAGGCTGGTCTCGAACTCCTGGCTCAAATGATTCTCCTGCCTTGGCCTCCCAAAATGCTGGGATTACAGGCTTGAGCCCCTCCACCTGCACCCAGTGCAGGGCTAGAATTTGAACCCCTGCTAGCTGCTCTCCAGAGTCTGTGCTCATGAACTCTGCCAATAATAGCACAGCTACCATTTAATAATGGTTTACTACATGCCACGAGCTGTTCTAAATGGTTTACTGGATTCGTTCATTTATTCCTCATAGTCCACCAAGAGATACCATCATCATCATGACCCTATTTGACAGAGATTGAAACTGAGGCTCAGAGAAGTGAAGTCACTTACCCAGGGTCACACATTGAGACAGAGGCAGAGTCAGTTTCAACCTGAGCAGACCAGCTCTTGAGCCTGTGCTCTTAATCTCTGCCCACAACAATAACCCACACTTCCCAAGTATCTCTCATGCACCTGACACTAGGGTAAGCAGTTTAGAAAATGAACTTCGTGGCCAGGTGCAGTGGCTCATGCCTGTAATCCCAGCACTCTGGCAGGCAGAGGCGGACAGATCACTTGAGGTCAGGAGTCCGAGACCAGACTGGCCAACATGGCGAAATCCCATCTCTTAAAAAAAAAAAAAAAAAAATTAGCCAGACGTGATAGCAGGCACCTGTAATCCCCGCTACTCAAGAGGCTGGAGCAGAAGAATCACTAGAACCTGGGAGGCAGAGGTTGCAGTGAGCCAAGATCACGCCATTGCATTCCAGCCTGTATGACAGAGTGAGACTCCGTCTCAAAAAAAAAAAAAAAAAAAAGGAAAGAAAATGAGCTTCCTCAATCTTCCCAGAAGCCCTTCACAGTTAGTGCTTTTCAACCCATTTACCAGATGAGGAAACTGAGGCTGAAAGAGGCCAACACCCTCTCCCAGGTGAGCAGGAGACCTGGGATTCCAATCCAGGCCCCAGTGACAGAGACAGCACTGTGCTTCCTCGACAGCCAAGGGTTTTCCAGATTCCCAGGAGCAGCCACTTATTTGATGAACAAATGCTTATGAGCAGGAGCTACGTGCTGAGCCCTACGCTGGGCACTGGGGCTCTGTGCTGAGTGAAACATAAAAGCCCTTGACCCAGGGGAGTGGTGCTCAGAGGAGGAAGACAGTGAACAGGAGGGGAGGTCAGGAGCCGAGGAGGGTGAGGGAAGACCTCACTGCCAGGGAAAGCAAAGACCTAGAGGCACTGGGGGTGAGGCATGTGTGTAACTGGAGCAAGAGCCTTCCAGGTGGAGGTGGCAGCAAGGGCAAAGGCTCTGAGGCCAGAGCGGGCCAGGAGTCCAAAGCAGCTGGAGCTGAGTGAGGAGGAGGTTGGGGGGTGAGAGGACATGAGGCAGACAGGTGGGGAGGAGAACAGTGAGGAGTGGGGATGGGAAGGAAGCGGGAGGGAAGCCAGGTGTTGTGGTCTTTGGCTTTATCCTGAGTAAGATGGAGCCATGGACTCTTTCCCTCCCTCCCTCCCTCCCTTCCTTCCTTCCTTCCTTCCTTCATTTTTCTAGACAGGCAGGTATGGTGGACTTTGGCTTTATCCTGGGTACGATGGAGCCATGGACTTCCTTCCCTTCCTCCTTTCCCTCCTTTCCCTTCCTTCCTTCCTCCCTGTCCTCCCTCCCTCCTTCTTTCCCTCCTTCCTTCTTTTCTTCCTTCCTTCCTTTGTTTTTCTTTTTTTTTTTTTTTTTTTTTTTTTTTTGAGGATGGAAGGTCGTCGCTCTGTCACCCAGGCTGAGCCGCGAGTGGCCGGATCTCAGCTACTGGGCAAGCTCCGCTGCCCGGGTTCCCGCCATTTGTCTCTGCCTCAGCCTCCCGGAGTAGCTGGGAACTACAGGGCGCCGCACCTGGCGCCGCATAGCTTTCTCTAGCTATTTTTTAGTAGAGACGGGGTTCACGGCTGTTCGGCCAGGGATGGTCTCGATCTCCTGACCTCGTGATCCGCCCGTCTCGGCCTCCCAAAGTGCTGGGATTACAGGCTTGAGCCACCGCGCCCGGCCAACTTCCTTTGTTTTTCTAGACAGGGTCTCACTCTGTTGCCCAGGCTGGAGTGCAGTGGCACAATCATAACTCTTTGCCGCCTTGAACTCTCGGGCTCAAATGATCCTCCCACCTCAGCCTCCCAATGAGCTGGGACTACAAGTGTGCACCACCACGTGCAGCTAATTTTTGTAGTTTTTGTAGAGATGGAGTCTCACTATGTTGCCCAGGCTGGTGTCGAACTCCTGGCCTCAAGTGAGCCTCTCACCTCAGCCTCCCAAAGTGCTGGAATTACAGGCATGAGCCACCACACCTGCCCTCTTATTTTCTTATCCTGTATTTAATTTTCGGGCATAACAATTTAACCAAAGCCCTAAAAATTCACCCAACTAGTTTTAAAAATTGTGTCTATGTCTGTTTCCGCTATTAGTCTGTCATTAACTAAGACATTTTTTCCCAAAATTTCTTTCTTCTTTTTTTTTTTTGAAATGGAGTCTTGCTCAGTCTCCCAGGCTGGAGTGCAGTGGCATGATCTTGGCCCCCCGCAAGCTCTGCCTCCGGGGTTCACGCCATTCTCCTGCCTCAGCCTCCTGAGTAGCTGGGACTACAGGCGCCCACCACCACGTCCCGCTAATTTTTTTTTTTTTTTTTTTTTTTTTTAGTAGAGAGGTGGTTTCACCATGTTAGCCAGGATGGTCTCAATCTCCTGACCTCGTGATCCACCCGCCTCAGCCTCCCAAAGTGCTGGGATCACAGGCGTGCGCCACCGCGCCCGACCTTTTTTTGTTTATTTTGAGATGGAGTCTCGTTCTTTCGCCCAGGCTGGAGTGCAATGGTGCGATCTCGGCTCACTGCAACCTCCACCTCCCGGGTTCAAGCAATTCTTCTGTCTCAGCCTCTGAGTAGCTGGGATTACAGGTGTGAGCCACCATACCTGGCTAATTTTTCTGTTTTTAGTACAGATGGGGTTTCACCATGTTGGTCAGGCTCGTCTTGAACTCCTGACCTCGTGATCTGCCTGCCTTGGCCTCCCAAAGTGCTGAGATTACAGGCGTGAGCCATGGCGACTGCCTTTTTTGTTTGTTTTTTTGAGACACCGTCTTGCTCTGTCGCCTAGGATAGAGTGCAGTGGCGTGATCTTGGCTCACTGCAAGCTCCGCCTCCTGGGTTCAGGCCATTCTCCTGCCTCAGCCTCCTGAGTAGCTGGGACTACAGGCGACCACCACCACGCTTGGCTAATTTTTTGTATTTTTAGTAGAGACGGGGTTTCACCGTGTTAGCCAGGATGGTCTCGGTCTGACCTCGTGATCCGCCCGCCTCGGTCTCCCAAAGTGCTGGGATTACAGGCATGAGCCACTGTGCCTGGCCCCCACCTCCCCCACCTTTTTTTTTTCCAAATTTCTTATGGGAAATTTCTAACGTAGACTAAAGTAGAGTCCGTGGTATTTGAGCTCTGCATACCTCTCACTTGATTTCAACAACATTAGCTGCAGACTGCCCAGCATTGTCTCCTCTATCCCCATTCTCCCACACTTTTTCTTCTGGGTATTTTGAAGCACATTCTAGAAGCCAAGTCGCTTACCTGGATAAGCTCCAGTAAATACTGGAGCACACATTTCTCTGACTGACAAGCACATTGTTTTAAAGCAGTCAGGCGGATGTGCAGTGTCATCTATCTCCCAGCAGCGGAGCTCACAAATCCACACACAACCTCCTGTTGCTTTATAGGTGAAGATGCCAGGTGAGGACAAGAAAAGAATTTGCATTAAACATCAACTATCAAGCTTTTTTTTTTCTCCTGCCCTCCATGCCGTTGGCACAACCCACCAAATTCACCCAAATTCTTTCATATCATCCAATACCCAGTCTGTGACAAATGTCTCTGATTATCTGAGAACATCGTTTTATGTTTGTTTGTTTTGTTTTAAGAGACAGGGTCTCACACTGTTGCCTGGGCTGGAGTGCAGTGGCATGATTTCGGCTCATTGCAACCTCCACCTCCTGGGTTCAAGTTATTCTCCTATCTCAGCCTCCCGAGTAGCTGGGATTACAGGCACCCATCTCCGTGCCCAGCTAATTTTTGTATTTTTGCATTTTTAGTAGATGGGGCTTCACCCTATTGGTCAGGCTGGTCTCAAACTCCTGACCTCAGGAGATCCACCCGCCTCAACCTCCCAAAGTGCTGGGATTACAGGCGTGAGCCACTGCACCCACACTTGTTTGTTTTGTTTTAAGAGGCAGGGTTTTGCTCTGTCACCCAGGCTGGAATGCAGTGGTGCGATCATAGCTCACTGCGGCCTCCAACTACTGGGCTCAAACGATCCTCCAACCTCAGCCTCCCAAGTAGCTAGGACTAACACTACCACTAGTAGTAACCATGCTTAACTAATTTTATTTTTTGTAGCGACGGGGTCTCACTGTGTTGCCCAGGCTGATCTTGAACTCCAGGGTTCAAGCAATCCTCCCACCTCGGCCTCCCAAAGTGCTGGGATTACAGGCATGAGCCACTGCATCTGGCAGAGAATGTCTTTATTTGTTTATTTATATTATTATTTTTTGAGACAGAGTTTCACTCTTGTTGCCTAGGCTGGAGTATAATGGTACAATCTGGGCTCACTACAACCTCTGCCCCACGGGTTCAAGCAATTCTCATGCTTCAGCCTCCCGAGTAGCTGGGTAACGGCATGCGCCCCCTGGCTAATTTTGTATTTTTAGTAGAGATGGGGTTTTCATGTTGTCACGCTGGTCTTGAACTCCCAACCTTCGGTGTCCTCCTTGGCCTCCAAAGTGCTGGGTTCAGGCACGGCCCTGTGCCTGGCCCCAATGTCTTTGTTTTTTATTTTCTTTCTTGCTTTTTTTTTTTTTTTTTTTTTTTTTGCTGTCATGCTTTGCATTTTTCCTCTTTGTATAGTGAATTTATTAGTGTTCCTAAGTCCATATTTATTTTGGCATTATGTTATTTTTAAATTTCATTTTCTTGAATTTTATTATAAATATTTCTTGGCTGGGTGCGGTGGGCTCCTCGTTATCCCGCCTTTGGGAGGCTGGAGGAAGGAGGACCCTTGAGCTCAGGGTCTGAGCCAGCTGTGCAAACGTGCAAGACCTATTTAAGAAAATTTAAAATTAGCCAGACATGGTGGCATGTGGCCTGTAGTCCACAGATATTCGAAGGGCTGAGGTTAAGAGGTCACTGAACTGGGAGGCAGGGGGCAATGGCTATGTCCTGGCCACTGCCGCCAGCCTTAGGCGACAAGAGACCTATGTCAAAATTTAATATATATTATATAATTTTTTTTTTTTTTTAGGAGTGGAGTCTCCCTCTGTCGCCCAGGCGATCGTGCAGTGGCACGATCTCAGCTCACTGCAACCTCCGCCTCCCAGGTTCAAGCAGTTATCCTTCCTTAGCCTCCTGAGTAGCTGGGATTACAAGCATCATCAGGCTAGAGCACAGCGGCGCAATCTCAGCTACCTGCAACCTCCGCCTCCCGGGTTCAGGCAATTCTCCTGTCTCAGTCTCCCAAATAGCTGGGACCACAGGCCCGTGCCACCATTCCCAGCTAATTTTTGTATTTTTAATAGAGATGGGGTTTTGCCACGTTGGCCCAGCTGGTCTCAAACTCTTGACCTCAAGTGATCCACCCACCTCAGCCTCCCAAAGTGCTGGGATTACAGGCGTGAGCCACAAATGCCCAGCCCTAATTTTTGTATTTTTACTAGAGAAGGAGTTTCACCATATTGGCCAGGCTGGTCTCGAACTCCTGACCTCAGGTGATCGACCCCTTGGCCTCCCAAAGTGCTGGGATTACACGCGTGAGCCACCACGCCCGGCCTGTCTCAAAAATAAATTAATTAAATTAAATATTTCAAAATACAGAAAAGTTGGAAGACTTGTACAGCGAACGCCTGAATACCCACCACATATTATGGATGCTACTAGTCACACTGCGCCAAACTTTTTAAAAACTTGCATTTCCGCAATGATGCGTCCCTGATGGGGTGTGGCTTCACGGGCTCTGCCCGACGGGCCGTCCTCCCTCTGTCTCCCCAGTACCTGGTGCTCATGCTCATCGTCTACATCTTCGAGTGCGCTTCCTGCATCACGTCCTACACCCACCGTGACTACGTGAGCCCGGCGAGGCCTGGGGAGGGGCCTGACCTGCATGGGAGGGGCGAGGGTCCCGGTGCGGCGGAGCGGAGGTTGTCCCGTCTCCCCACCCAGCCCTGCCGACCCCTGCTCTTCCCTGTTCTCCGCAGATGGTGTCCAGCCCATCCCTGATCACCAAGCAGATGTTGACCTTCTACAGCGCTGACACCCACCAGGGCCAGGAGCTGACCCGCCTCTGGGACCGCGTCATGATTGAGGTGGGTAGGGTGGCCCGGGTGCCGGGAGGGCCCGGGGCTCCGTCCACAGAGGCCGATAGAGCGCCCGATGTGCCCTCTTGTAGAGGAGTGAGTGCCTTAAAGACATCCACTCATGAGATCTCCAGGAGAGCAGGGCTGCGGATGAGTAAACCCTTCTGCAGATGAGTAAACAGGCCCAGAAAGGGAAAGTCCCTTGCCCGAGGCCATGCAGTCCATAGGTGGTGGGAGCTGGGATTGGAACCCAGCAGCCTAGCTCCTGACTCCCTGCTCTTAGCCTACACATACTACCTCAACAGAGATGTTGATAATAACAATAGTAACAGCACTATTCACTGAGCACTAACTTGGGTTTAACACAGTTCAAAGGACTTTTATTTTTATATTTTGAGACAGGGTCTTGCTCTGTTGCCCAGGCTGGAGTGATCATAGCTCACTGCAACCTCCAACTCCTGGGCTCAAGTGATCCTCCTGCCTCAGCCTCCCAAGTAGCTGGGAATACAGGTGCACCCCACCACGCCCGGCTAAATTTTTTAAATTATTTTTTGTGGAGATGGGGTCTTGCTCTATTGCAGAGGCTGGTCTCGAACTCCTGGGCTCAGGATTGGAGCGATTCTCCCACCTCCGCCTCTCAAAGTGCTGAGATTACAGGCATGAGCCACAAGTGCCTGGCCTCAAAGCACTTTTAAAGCTTTTTTAATCCTCACGACCACCCCATAAGGGAGATCAGCCTTTTAGTGATGAGGAGACCAAAGCAAGAGGTTGAATATCTTGCATGAGGTCACACACCTGGTAGGTCACAGAACTGGAAGGATTCAAACTCAGACTTCCAGGTTTGAAGAGATACACTCTTCACCAAATCCAGCATGATATTGCATCGGAAGAGGAAGAAATTGGCTGGGCGCAGTGGCTCACACCTATAATCCCAACACTTTGGGAGGCTGAGATGGGCAGGTCACTTGAGTTCAGGGGTTCGAGACCATCCTGGCCAACATGGTGAAACCCTGTCTCCACAAAAAATACAAAAATTAGCCAGGCGTGGTGGTGTGTGCCTGTGATTCCAGCTACTTGGGAGGCTGAGGCAGGAGAATCGCTTGAACCCAGGAGGCAGAGGTTGCAGTGAGCCAAGATGGCGCCACTGCACTCCAGCCTGGGCAACAGAGGGAGACTCCGTCTCAACAGAAAAAAAAGGAAGAAATTGACGACTCAAGGAAAACTGAGGTGTCAATGTGGCCCAAGTCCTCTAGCTAGCCAGGATTTGAACCCATGTTTGAAGGGTGGCCAAGCCTATGTTTTCCTCATTCAGGAGCCACAAATTAAACACCTGGATTCCTTACCAAGGCCAGGAAAAGCCAGAAATCTGCCCTTTTTGTGTTATTTTCTCAGCATATTTTATTTTATTTTATTTTATTTTATTTTATTTTATTTTATTTTATTTTATTTTATTTTATTTTTTGAGATGGAGTTTCATACTTGATTCCCAGGGTGGAGTGCAGTGGCACAATCTCGGCTCACTGCAATCGCCACCTCCCGAGTTCAAGTGATTCTCCTGCCTCAGCCTCCCAAGTAGCTGGGAGTACAGGGGCCCACCACCACACCTGGCTAATTTTGTATTTTTAGTAGAGATGGGGTTTCATCATGTTGGTCAGGCTGGCCTCGAACCCCTGACCTCAGGTGATCCACCCACCTTGGCCTCCCAAAAAGCTGGGATTACAGGCATGAGACACCATGCCTGGTAAAAATATTTTAAAATAAGTCAGAGGTACGGGTTTGATCCAAATCCCCCATCAGCCTCCTGGTCCCGGGACAAATATCGTCTGCTCCGTACTTACACACAGACACCCACCGGACACACTCGCTTGGAGGCCCAGGACATGGGGAAGTTGGGTCCAACTGTGTCAAAGGCCAACCCGGCCCCTCCTTGCTGTGTGACCTCAGGCAAGCGACTATCCTCTCTGAGCCCGAGCCCGCCTGACCCCCTGCTTTTCTCTCCAGCAAGAGTGCTGTGGCACATCTGGTCCCATGGACTGGGTGAACTTCACGTCAGCCTTCCGGGAGGCCACTCCGGAGGTGGTGTTCCCCTGGCCCCCACTGTGCTGTCGCCGGACGGGAAACTTCATCCCCCTCAACAAGGAAGGCTGCCGCCTGGGGCACATGGACTACGTGTTCACCAAGGTGTGGCCCTCTGCCCTGCTGCATCTGTCCGTCCATCTGTCTGTCTTCCTCTGGTCTCTGCTCCCTCTCTGATTCTATCTCTTTCTCCCTCCCTGTGTCTGTCCATCTAGCTTTTTCTCTCTCCTCTTCCCCTCTCTGATTTTCTTGTTTTCTTTTTCTTTCTTTTCTTTTTTTTCGAGACCGAGTCCCGCTCTGTCACCCAGGCTGGAGTATAGTGGCACGATAGCTCACTGCAGCGTCTGCCTCCCAGGTTCAAGGGATTCTCCCACCTCAGCTTCCAGGGCAGCTGGGATTACAGGCGCGCACCACCCTCTTGGCTAATTTTTGTATTTTTAGTAAAGACGGGGTTTGATCATGTTGGCCAGGCTGGTCTCGAACTCCTGAGGTCAAGTGATCCACCCGCTTTGGCCTCCCAAAGTGCTCAGATTACAGGCATGAGCCACAGCGCTGGGTCCCCTCTCTGATTTTCTCGTGCTCTCCCAACTCTCCCTCAAGTCAGCAGGATGCACCCAGGGTCTGTCTGATCCAAACCTGGCACCTGCAACTTTACTCAGGTTGTCCAAGAATAAGAGCAACAATAGGGCAGGGCGTGATGGCTCACACCTGTAATCCCAGCACTTTGGGAGGCCGAGGAGGGTGGATCACTTGAGGTCAGAGGTTCAAGACCAGCCTGACCAACATAGCAAAAATCCATCTCTACTAAAAATGCAAAAACTAGCCCAGAGCAGTAGCACATGCCTGTAATCCCAACTACTCGGGAGGCTGAGGTAGGAGAATCACTTGAACCCTGGAGGTGAAGGTTGCAGTCAGATAAGATTATGCCACTGTACTCCAGCCTGGGCGACAGAGCGAAACTCCGTCTCAAACAAAACAAAACAAAGGAAAACATCAAACAAAACAATAGAGCTAGGCCCGGTGGCTCAAGCCTGTAATCCCAGTACTTTGGGAGGCCAAGGCAGGAGGATCACTTGAGGTTAGGAGCTCAAGACCAGCCTGGGCAACATATTAAGACCCCATCTCTATAAAAAAGTACAGAAAATTAACCAGGCATGGTGGTGCGTGCCTATAATCCCAGCTACTGGGGAGGCTAAGGCAAGAGGATCGTTTGAGTCTAGGAGGTCAAGGCTGCAGTGAGCTGTGATGGTGCCACTGCACTCTAGCCTAGGCAAGAGACTTAAACAAAAAAAAACAAAAAACAAACAAACAAACAAACAAAAAAAAACAAGGCCCGGGCGCACGCGGTGGCTCACACCTGTAATTTCACCCAGCACTTTGGGAGGCCAAGATGGGCGGGTCACGAGATCAGGAATTCAAGACCAGCCTGACCAACATGGTGAAACCCCGTCTCTACTAAAAATACAAAAATTAGCCAGGCGTAGTGGTGCATGCCTGTAGTCCCAGCTACTCAGGAGGCTGAGGCAGGAGAATCGCTTGAACGCGGGAGGCAAAGGTTGCAGTGAGCCGAGATCACACCACTGCACTGCAGCCTGGGCGACAGAGCGAGACTCTGTCTCCAAAAAAAAAAAGAAAGCCAGCCGTAAGAGCAAAATCACCCTCAGACTGTCATAGCCATCAGCAAGGCGGCACCTACTTTGCAGGGCCTGGGTTCAACATCAGCTCCCTGGGGCCCCAAAACCACCCGAGGAGGTGGACAGTGCCATGGTCCCCACTGCACAGGTGAGAAAACCAAGGCTCAGGAAAGGCGGTGACTTTCCCAAGGGTGCACAGTGACTCTCGCCTTCTGCAGCCACCCTCATGGGCGTCTTCTCAAACCTCCCCCATCCCCCTGCCCAGGGCTGCTTTGAGCACATCGGCCATGCCATTGACAGCTACACGTGGGGCATCTCGTGGTTTGGGTTTGCCATCCTGATGTGGACGGTGAGAGGCGGGGAGCCCACAGGCTGGGTGGGCTGGGGGTGGGGGGGTGGAGTGCCCTCATCTCTCTGCCTCCTTGCCAGCTCCCAGTCATGCTGATTGCCATGTATTTCTACACCACGCTCTGAGGGACAAGACGGGAAGGCAACATACACACCCCGGCCTCCTCTGCATCCTCCCCCTGCTTCCTCCGCTGGGGCCTGGATGGTTGCCTCATGTCTGCCCTCCCAACCTCCCTAGCCCTTACCTCCTTCCACTTCCAATATCTTTTTCCAGGTTCCTGTGCCTCGGGTGTGCCCTGAAACCCCAGGGCTTGTGTGCACATATCTTTAGCCTTGACCTCACTCCACTTGGCTGGTTCTTGCCCAACTTTCAAGGGACCTCTCCATGATCCCATCTCACATTCACAGACACCTCTCCTGTAGCTCTCTGAGCTCCTCCTTCATGGCAGGCGTCGCCATTCTTGTTGAACAGTTTGTGATTGCCGTTTGAGCTCTGGAAGCCTTGATTGCCATGAGAGTTCTGTCACGGTCACTTTACTGTCCCCATCATCACCCAGCACGGGGCTGAGCACATACTAGATAGTCAATAAATAAATTAATTAATTAATTAATTAATAATGAATGAATGAGTTTGTTCTTTTTCTGGGTCAAGGGAGAGTGAACAAGAACTGTTCTAGGCCAGGCATAGTGGCTCACGCCTGTATTCCCAGCACTTTGGGAGGCCGAGGCGGACAGATCACTTGAGGTCAGAAGTTCGAGATCAGCCTGGCCAAAATGGTGAGACCCCATCTCTACAAAAATACAAAAATCAGCCAGGCGTGGTGGTGCACATCTGTAATCCCAGCCACGGAGGCTGAGGCAGAAGAATCACTTGAACCCGGGAGGTGGAGGTTGCAGTGAGCTGAGATCACACTATTGCACTGCAGCCTGGGTGACAAAGCAAGGCCCTGTCTCCAAAAAAAAAAAAAAAAAAGAACTATTCTACTATTCTGATGGAAGTGGCAGAAACCCAACTGTCACTGACTGAAGTGTAAAATGGAATTTATCAGCTCACGTAACTGAGTCAACGGGGCTGGCTTCAGGCATGTCTGGATCCAGGTGTTCAATCTAAGTTTCCAGGAAACCTGCTTCATTTCCTGACAGGATTTCTCTGGCAACGCCATACTTAACATCTTTATAACTAAGCAATGCAACAGAGAGAAAGAGCCTCTCTCCCAAGGGCTGTAGCCAAGGTCCAGAGTTGAATCTCATTGTCTTGGCTTAGGTTCTAGGCCCACCGTTAGGTTGGGAAAGGGAGAGCACCTGGCATGGTAATCCTGCTAAGGATGCATGCGTTGGTGGTGTTGGAAGGGGAGTTGTTTATCAAAGGAAAATCCAGGTACAGGGCTGTTGAGACTTATAGGTGATAAAAATCCTTCTCCTAGGGATATAGCTTCCAGCAAGTTCTGTAGAGGGTCCATGACAGCAAACCATTAAGAACTGAATTATGGCTGGGCACGGTGGCTCACACCTGTAATCCCAGCACTTGCGGAGGTGGGCAGATGGCTTGAGGCCAGGAGCTTGAGACTAGCCTGGCCAAAATGGCGAAACCCCATCTCTATTAAAAATAGAAAAAATACCCGGGCATGGTGGTGCACAGCTGTAGACCCAGCTACTCAGGAGGCTGAGGCAGGAGAATTGCTTGAGCCTGGGAGACGGAGGTTGCAGTGAGCTGAGATCATGCCACTGCACGCCAGCCTAGCCGAGAGAGCGAGACTCTGTCTCAAAAAAAAAAAAAAAGAATCACACTGCAAAGAAATATTTCTAAGGCATGAAAAAAAAACTTGGGGCCCGGGCGCCGGCGGTGGCTCCAAGCCTGAAATCCCAGCACTTTGGGAGGCCGAGACGGGCGGATCATGAGGTCAGGAGATCGAGACCATCCTGGCTAATACGGTGAAACCCGTCTCTACTAAAAAATACAAAAACTAGCTGGGCGAAGTGGCGGTGCCTGTAGGTCCCAAGCTACTCCGGGAGGCTGGAGGCAGGAGAATGGCGTGAAACCGAGAGGAGGAGCTTGCCAGCTGAGCCCGATATCCGGCCACTGTACCACCTGCGGGTGACAGAGCAAGACTCCGTCTCAAAAAAAAAAAAAAAAAAAAAAAAAACTTGGGAAATTGTGACATGAGAAAAACAGGTTACAATATAGCATGCCAAGTATGATTCCTTCTCTGATAAAAATGTAAATATGTGCATGTTTGCATTTTTTAAAGGTCTTCCAAAGGTTATTGAGGAAGAGGACACATTTGCAGGGGATTTTTGTTTCATTCCTTGGGCATTTTGGTATTTTCCAAATATTTTATGATGATTATTGCCTTTGTCCTCTAACAAAAATCAAGAAACGTATCTTAGTTAAAATGTCACTGCTGGACATAAAATGTACATTGAGAAGAGAATTATTCCTCGAAACATTTTCAAACTTTATCTGAGCAGTTAAGACAGGTCAGGGCTGGGCGCAGTGGCTCACGCCTGTAATCCCAGCATTTTGGGAGGCTGAGGCAGGAGGATTGCTTGAGGCCAGGAGTTCCAGACCAGCCTGGCCAACATAGCGAGACCTCGCCTCTCCAAAAAATTTAAAAATTAGCTGGGCATGGTGGTGTGCACTTGTAGTCCCCACTACTCGGGAGGCTGAGGTGGAAAGATCGCTTGAACCCAGGAGGTAGGGGCTGTAGTGAGTTGTGATGGTGCCACTGCATTCCAGCCTGGGCAATAGCAAGACCCTGTCTCAATAATAATAATAATAGGCCAGGACTTACCAGATACGGCGGGGCCGGGGTTTGACCTGACCTCTGACCTCTGGGCAGTCGGGTAAGCATGCCGCCATCTCTGACCCACATCTGCCACTTGGCTTTCGGGCTCCATCCGACTGCATACCTGCAGAGTGTGTCTCAGTCAGACCGGCAGCAGCATGGCCTCACCCAGGCGGGCCTCAGCCTGCAAGACAGGTTTGTCTGCCCCAGCCCCCAAACTCAGAGGCCGGCTCCTGTGGGTAAGAGGGGAGCAAAGAGGTCAGGGCCAGGTCAGGGCCCTGATCCCTTGAGGGACAGGCAGCCATTCGAGGGCTGCTCCCCCCACACCTCCAGGTGACTGCATCCCTCCTCGGCCTCTAACCCTCCACGGCTCTCCAGCGCCCTCCTCACTTACACGGAGGGGCCGGTGTGGCTGGGCCCCTTGCCACCTCTCCAGGTATCTCTCTCTCTCCTGCTCCACTGAGCCAAGCTCTCTCTCTCTCACCATCTGAGATCACAGAATACAAACAAGAAACTGTGTTATATAGCAATCAAGCGGGGCCCATGCCTCTGACTACATCCACTTTTGCTTACGCTCCTTCCATGAGGGCAAGTTGGGTTTTGTTTTTTTAACTAAAATCTAAAAACCCACACCCCTGCCCTTTTCTCAGGCGTCCCGCGCCCACTGATTCCTCCTCTCTGGTCACCTCGTCCTTGGCTGGTGTTAGAAAAATGGCTACAAGCTTCCTGGGAATCAGATAATAAAGCTTACAGGAACTCTTCCCAGATTTAAAAGAGCTTAACAAATAAATAGATAAATAAAGCTTACCTTCTAGAGGGGAAAATAGATAAAAACAATAAGAAAAACACATGTCAGAGGCTAATAAGTGCTAAGGAGAAAAATAAAAGAATGAAAAGCAAAACAAAAACCTAGCCAGGGCGGGCGCAGTGGCTCAAGCCCATAATCCCAGCACTTTAGGAGGCCAAGGCAGGAGGAACGCTTGAGGAGTTCGAGACCAGCCTAGGCTACATAGTGAGACCCCCGTCTCTACAAAACAGTAAAAAAAATTTAAAAATTTGCTGGCCATGGTGGCAAGCGCCTGCATCACAGCTACTCAGGAGGCTGAGGCAGGAGGATCACTTGAGCATGGGAGGTTGGGGCTGAAGTAAGCCAAGATCGCACCACTGACTCTGTCAGCCCAGGTGACAATCTCAAAAAAGTCAGGGCTGGGCGCAGTGGCTCACGCCTGTAATCCCAGCATTTTGGGAGGCTGAGGCAGAAGAATCACTTGAACCCGGGAGGTGGAGGTTGCAGTGAGCTGAGATCACACTATTGCACTGCAGCCTGGGTGACAAAGCAAGGCCCTGTCTCCAAAAAAAAAAAAAAAAA